GAATCACAGTACAGAATTACTTGATGGTGAGTACCAGCATTTTCTTTGAGCTGTTTAGCAACACAAGAAGCAACATCTTGCGAACCTCTACTGCCTTCCGTCTCATCCCAGACATACATAAATCCTGTTTTAAAGTTAAAAGAATGTACGCCCAAGTTATAACATAAATATTTCTCTTATAGTAGGCAACTGATGTTGAAAGTTTGGGAAAGAGAAGAACTTTCTGTAAATCAAACGTGCAGACATACAACTTATCAGAAGTTTTTTCGCTATCCGATTTTAAAGCTTCTCTTGCTTGGTCGGTATTTTCAATTGCAACTCATCGCACAGGCGGCAAGTATCTTTGCTAGGTATTATAAAGTGCAGGTTAAATTTTGATGAAAATACCCTATAATAGAATTTTTCCTTTACAGGTTGTTTGTTTTTCTGAGCGCACTGCTCGCCATATAGGTCATACACTTTTCTAAGGTTTATACTAGGGTGAAGATATCTCCTTTGTTCATTGTCTTTTCTGCTGTGGTGACTCTGGTATGAAGGGAAAGATTTTATGTGAATAATAACCTCCGAGTCATCTATTTTATTATTTGGAATATTTGTTCCGCGATGATCTATTACAGCAAAGACTTCAGGTTTGGTTAAACATCGATACAATCGTCCCGCACTAATTTGCAGGATATGAAGAAAACATTTTTTGCAAACGTTGATGTTTGATTTCGTTCTTATCGTAACTATATTCAAAAGATGAATGTTTTTCTCGTCCAAAACCATTTCTTGGGCGCTTTCTTTGAATTTTTGAAAGTTTCACTAAACCACGAAGAAAGACATTTTGTTTAGTATAATCAGCTAATTTCCAGAATGAGTTCGAAATAGTTATTTATGTACCAAGGGCACAAAGAAGATGTTTATATTCGAGGGCAACGTTTACAAAATCGAGGGCCTCTGGCCCGAGATTTTGTAAGTTGCCCGAGATTTATAAACATCAAGTTGTGCCCGTGGTGCATACAAACTTTTATTTTTCACGAGAAAATCTAAAAAAAAAGACTAATTTATATAATTAATTTGTAAAAAAAAAAATTTACGTGGCGTTGATTTTGTTGTCAAGGAGATTCTATGTTTATTGCAAACACGGCGGCTATTCACGGTGTCAACACGTGTATTTTCGACCGCGGAAATGAATGAGGAAAATTGTGAAATTCCAGAAAACATTGTGAAGAAAGCGCAAAAAGCCAATGAAAATGTGTTACCTGGAACATCAAGATCCATATATGAAAAAGAATACAAAATTTTCCTTAATTGGAAGATTAAGACGTGGCTTACTTCCAAGAATTGGTGAGTTATTCTGTTTATAAAATAATTATTTAACTGTGTTCTTCATTTTTAGTCAGAAAAATATTCACCCAGTTCCTTATGGTGAAAATACTCGATGGTCAAGGCAACTTTAAGAGTAAACGACAACATAGACATTTCTAATTATCATCGTTTGACATATTTCTATAAAAAACCCAAAAGGTTATGTGGCAAAAAAATCCCGAGTTTTGACTGGCGAACAAGTCCTGCAATTTCTAAAAGATGCTTCCGACAACAGATATTTACTTCAGAAGGTAAACTAAGTAAGTTATTTTTTGATGATTGTAACTAATTTAAATACGAATGTTTTATGCTGTAAAGGTAGTTGGAGGATGAGTGAACACAATTCAAGATTTTTATATAATACGTTATTCGGTGCTAGCAGGATGGAAGCAGTGGCAGAAATAATTCCAATAGAGGCACCTCCGAAAAGTTTAAGTTTACCTGAATAGTTTGGTATGAATAGCAAGTTTGTAAATTGTAATTTGTATCTTCGTTATTAAATAAATTGTCAAAAAATAAATAAGTAGTTAAAAATAAACAATAATTTTTTAAAATTTTTGTTTAATTCGGTTTAGCAAAATAGGGCATAATGAGAGGGCGTAATAACTCTTTATGCCCGCTCATTGTGCCCCGGATATAAGATGCCGCTTTACGTTTATCAAATCATGGATATAAAACAAACATTATATACGAGTGAAAAATAAATGTTATTAAATCGTCAAGATTAATTTTTTTAGCGCATTGTTTGGAACAAAAACAATCAAAATCGGAATTCAAAATTTTAGCAGGAACTATTTTATTTGTTTTCGTTTTGTATAACTGCCCACCATTTCTTAGCATTTTGTTTTTATTTCTAGCCCAATCGACTTCATTTATTGTTCTTTTCCATCCACGTAGACCGTTTTCGGCATCTTGGTGCATTTCTGGCAAAAAAATGGACTTTACTGAATTCAGTTCAACATCATTGGGTTGTTGTTTTCGCACAAGTTGCATGAGGGGTATGTTGTCTTCAGAATCGGATTCTGTAAGAAATATTGAGAAAATTGATCATTTTACATATCTACGTTTTTTATAATTTATTTGCTTTAGCCGTATTGATACATTGATACATAAGAACAAAAGAAACACATCATACTTTTAGCCAGCATTAACTTACCTTCATTTTCACTGATAAAATGCATGTCAATATATATATATATATTTTCAAACTGTACGTGGTTTGAGGAAATCTGCTGATCTCTACTTATCTGCAGATCCCTGTGAGTACGATTGTGTTTGTTTAGTCGAAACCTGGTTGTCTAGTGATGTGATTAACTCGGAATAGTTTACAAATAATTTTTGTGGTTTCGGAAACATCGTAATCATGAAGTTTCAAATAAAACAAGAGGAGGTGGTGCACTTATAGCGGTATCTAGCAAGTATGTGGCTCTTGGTTTGGACCTCTCGGCATTTTCTATTCTTGCAATTGACATAGTGGGATGTAAAATTAAGTTTGGCCATGAATTTACTTATTTATTTTCTGTATATATTCCCCCTGATATTTCACTGCATGATCTCGAGTCATTTTTTGAACTTTTTGAGTCTTTTGTACTTGATAAAAAAAAATATTGCTTTTAGGCGACTTCAATGTACCAAATTTTATCAACAGCACAAAAAAGAGTCGAAATCAGAGTTAATTGTTAACTTTCTACATTATTGTAATTATGATCAATTTAATACTGTTACTAATAACAATAACCGTTGCTTGGATTTAGTTATTAGTAGACAGCGGATTTCTGTCGGGCTACGACACGATTATAGGTGGGGACGCGCTGGATCGCCGGGACTCAGTAGCGGGTGATAGAAATGATAGAATCACTGAATTTAATCCTCACCAGTGGCGGCTCGTGAAGTTTTCTTCAGAGGAGGCTCAAATTGAAAAGCACTACTTTTTATATCTTTTATTATCTGAATAATTTTTTTCGTCATGCCCACGAAAAGAACACTCTTGCGTTGACAGATAAATTATATCGCATCGATTAGTCTTTTCAAAATTGCCCAATTTTCACCAACTTTCTCGTAATAGTTCTCCCTTTTATGATCCGAATCTAAATTATTGGCAATGTTTTGCTTACCAAGCATTTCTAATTTAATCGAAGAAAATATGTGTTCCTGTGATTTTTCATGCCTTTCTATCGCTCGTGACAAATTTTGTAAATTATTATAGCCTGTTTTACCCCAAGCGGAAGATTTATCAGTTTATCACTTATAAATAATACACAATTCCAACAGTATAATTTGTTTCTTAAAACCGAAGCCGTTAACTATTTAGTTTTATTATAATTATTTTCATGAAATGCTCTGTTTTGTTTCTAATTGTAACTGTCAATACCATTAATGGGAGTGATGGTGTTGGTCTTCCCTTTTATACCCTTACCTACGTAAAGCCTAAACATCACCACCACCGACCAGGGAGCTCGCGAAACCACTTCAATGTTTTTCCTACTTACACCCGATTGCTCCAACTAATAAGAAAGAGATAAAGTTATCTGTACGACTTGATCTGAAAAGAGATGAACTAGCCGGAGGGTAGCGGCTTGGAGCGGCAGTCCGATCAACGTTTTAGCCAATGCAATACGCACTGATGATGCGTCAAGGTTACGGTCTCATTATTCAGATGCATCGTCGTTCGGAGGCTAGCGGCTAGCAAGCCTCTGCCGCTGAAACCAAACGCGGAGTGGTGTGAATGTGAATTATGATTGTGAGGGCGCAAATATAAATTTTTCCGACATTTTAACCTGATATATGATGAAAATAAATGAAATCCAAGAAAATATTCTGAAAAATAACAAATGTCTACAAAAATATAAATTCTTTCATCGAAAAAAATTAGAGGAAGCTCAGCTCCAAAAAATAGAGGAGGCTCAGCCTCCCCTGCCTCCTCTGAGGAGCCACCACTGATCCTCACTTATTCCATAAATACAAGTAACGATTTATTAATCAAACGGCTAAGTAAATGAGAAAGGGAATTAACAGCAGAGTACAACGAAGCAGCGTTATTCTTATCTCAAATAAACGAAGTCCAGCCCGTCACAGACCACACAGTTTAGATGGGAATCTACTGTACTACCAATGGTAATAGAAACAGCGCGCCGCCAGTGGAGGTGGGGCCAACTAAATCAAAAATTGCGCGAATTTTAAAGGAATCGCTATTAATAAAAGCATGTGAAAGTGAAGTAGAAAATGTTCATTACGATTCAAGCTATTGTCACCGAAATATTGTTAGGGTGACAATAGCTTGAACCATAATGAACATTTTTTAGTAAGATTGAAATGAAACTTTTATGTTAAACAAATAATATTTATTGAAACAATTTAATTAAAACTTAATCTAATTAAATCACAGAGACAATAATATTTATTCCTACAGGTAACACCCAATTAAGGAATAATATCAAACTAACTAAACTAATTCATGACAGCAACTAAAAAGTATAAATATTTAAAAAACAAAAGTATTTATAACTAATTAAACATTAAACCAAATTTACAATGCAATTACAAATACTACAACTAGAATCTAAATTAATATCATATAAATGTGCAATTTTGTTGAATAAATTAGACATAGCCGAAACTGAAAAGCAAACTGAGATGTTTGTGCGGCTAGAATCAGTATAAAACAGAACTATATATTAAATCAATACAGTCTAATTTATTGTGAAATAAATTGTATAAAAGTTGATAATAAAAAAGAGATAACGATAATATCAAATTTGTCTTATTATCAACGGGCGGAATGATGTTTCAGACGCTCGATCCAGTGCCGCCGCGTCGATACTTTGATTACAAATATATTTTTCTTTTGAACTATATCAACATAATATAACATTTCAAGATCACAAATCTGTGTTCTTGATTCAAAGCACGTGGCAAAAAGTACTTTACTCGCGTCAACAATCTTGTTCGTAAATACAAGAAACCTTCAATTGTTTTAACTAAATTTTTGGTCGATGGGACTTTTACATATATGCCCTTTTTACTATTCCAAAAACGCATTGATTTAATTACTTTCACAGATTCTTCCCACCACTTTTTATGTCCAGAATCAGTCGAAACCCCTCCTTTAAATGGTTTACTTACTGGCGCTTGTTTTGCATTAACATTGAGGCTGTCAAATAACATATCCATAAACAAGATGAAATCTGCAGTTTGCACTGCTTCAGCAGGTAAGCTGTTGTCACACTGAAGACCTAGAAAAAAAAAGAAAAGAAAAATTATTAGTATTAAGATTTTCTGGTAAATACAATATTACTTACCCCATTGTGAAATGCGTTTCATCAAGGATCCCACTTTAAAACTGAACACTTGCGCCATCAATGACACCTTCATCTTGTTCATCGTTTTCTTTTAATTTTGCCACTGACTGCTTGAAACTGTCCATTAGGCGTTTATTCAAGCCAGGGCGGAGTGGAATTTTATTTAATAAATTAATTAATGTCCCAGTTGACGGCAAACAAAAAATCTTGGATAATAAGCGGTATGCTTTCGCACTGGCCTTAAAAAGTGTTAGAGACAATAATTTCTCTTTTAACGTAAATCTGCGACTTTTGGGTTTAAGTTTCTGGTTTCTTAGCTGTTGCTGAATGAAACAAGTTTCATCTTCTACATCTGTAACAATGAAATGATGTTATAAATAATGAGATAATGAGTAGGTATTTCTAGATTCAATAAAATTGTAATTCATGGTTACTCACTTGGGATTACTGGTGATTGAATAAAATCACTAGTTACTGAGGCTGCTTCTTCAACCATTGACGTCAAATGGACGTCATCTTTCTCTTTCCCTTGTAGGACAACTGCAATACAAAAAGTTGTTGTTCAAAGTCTGTTGAAAGTAATGGGAATGAACAAATTTACTTTGATATGCAAAGTAATGAAAATGAACAATTTTACGCTGATATGCTTTTCGATGAAACAAAAGAAATTGCAAACGACGAGGCATGCTTTGGATAAGATTTTGGATTATATTCAGCGGAAGATTGTTCCATTTCTGCACCACTATGTTGCGAAGCTCTCTAGAATTTCTGGGGGCCGGCACATGTCTGCGTAAACGTTTCCCTATCTCATCACAAACATGTTGAATGGAATTTAAATCTGAACTGTCCACTCGCTTATGTTTACATTTTTCACTTTTTGCAGATGAATTTGCAATTGACAGATAACACCAAAAAAAAAAACAATGCTGATAATGGTTTTTAAGAATTTGGCTGGAGGACTCCTTTTTTGTCAAACGCTTATCGAAACAACAACATTTTTTTAAAGCAAACAGTTCGTAGAGTATGTTATATCGGAAAAAAATTACGGGTGACCCGAATTTTATGCTCGGCAGTGTATATTTTTTATCGCTCATTACTTATTACTGATGACACTTTGTAATACAATTGTAATTGTTTGTACATACCTGCTGATAAACAAATATTCGGAAAAGCATCTCTACGAAGTCCCCGTCTTGTTCCAGGAACTTTGAAATCGGTAGAAAAATGTCTATCACACACATATTTTTTATAGATTTCGCTTGATTCCATGGAACTAAAAAGAGGCGCGTTGACATTTTCAATCCATTTTTTCAGCAGCTGTTCCTCTTTGGGAAATCACAAAACGAAATCACAAGACGAAAAGACAAAATACCGTTCAGTAGAACTTTCTCCAAATTGGCTTGTTTAAAATGATTCATCAACCAAAATCGACATGCGTATTGCTCACTGTGCAATTTTAATTAGCAACAGCGCCCCATATCGGACGCCAGAGTAACATTTAGTAGAGACGCAAACCACTGAAATTTTGTTTGCGCTCTCTCCATAAGACTTTCTTGTCTAAAGTGTGTGGTCTGTGCAGCCCGTAACTGCAATGAATTCCCATCCCGTACGAGCCGTACCGAGTTTGGCCTTGCGTAGTCCGACAGAAATCCGCTTTCTAGTTATAGTGATTTTCAGTGCAATGTGTCACGAGAGTGCAGTCCATTGCTTACTGAAGACGGTCATCATCCCTCTTTGCTGATTGAGTTTACATTAGTTAAACCAGTTATTAATAACTTTCCTTGTGCTTCTAACTCCAAAGTGTATAACTTTAAAAAAGCAAACTTTCCAAAGCTCTATAATGCTGTTTTGAATCTTGATTGGTCTGAGTTAGAAAAATTCACTGACGTCAATAAATAATTTATAATAAAATATATTCTGTATTCGACCTATATGTCCCATGCTATAGAAACAAATGCTTTTCTCGTTCGTATCCTCCATGGTACAGCAAAGAATTAATAATTAACATAAAAAATAAATTTAAATGTTATGAAAGATGTAGAAAAAGCGGTGATGCATTCCAGTTACAAAAGTTCAAAGACTTAAGATCGCTAATTAAGGCTCAAATGTCTGCAGCCTATCGGATTTATATTGATAATGTGCAACATAACATTTCAGCTGATCCAAAAAAACTTTGGGACTATATTCAAAGCAACAAGGGAAGTACTAGAATTCCAAAGGTAGTAACCGATGAAAAACATAGTTCGCATGAAACTCCTGATGATATAGTGAACAGTTTTGCTTCATATTTTAAGAGTGTATATGCTGTGCCTGATACTATCTCAGCCAACGTGTCCCCTGAGCTGAACCATTCTCCCCAACATGTGGTTGTTTCTAATATAACGTTCGATGAAATTATATCAGCATTAAAAAGTTTAAAAAATAAACCAACAGCGGGTCCAGATCAAATACCAAGCTATCTAATTAAAGATTGCAGATATGCTTTATTCAAACCTCTTCACATCTTATTTAACTTAGCACTATTTGCTAACACTTTTCCAAATACCTGGAAAATTGCCAAAATTTGTCCAGTGCTAAAAACAGGCAAGTTTTTTCATTCTAATAATTTCTAATAAAATAATTATTTCTGAAAACTTGTTTACTCTGGAAGTGTTATTTTGTATTGTAAGTACCTGCTTGGCAAATTATAAAGAGAACAATTTAAATGCGCACTAGTTTTAATGAAATGTGAAATAAGTCACAGCATTATTAAAAACATTTCAGCACAGAAGAAACTATTTCAGCATTTGTAAAACTGAAAGGGCAATAAATAAAATAATGGCAGATTATTTTTTCTATTTGCGCAATAAATAATGCAATTTAGAATTATTTAATTAAATTTGCTCATTCGTTAAAATAACTGTTTCTTTAATAAATCAATTTGTATTTGAGAAAAAATAAACGAGCATTTCAAATGTTCCCTAAATTACTAAAATGTGCATTAGTTCACAGTAAAGTGGGCATTACACTCCCACTCTTTAAAGGACGTGTCATGTGCTTCATTTCACGCCAGTTCGGCAGGGAAGGAATCCGCCCTTCTAAAGCCAAAAAAACATTAATTATTATTCAATAAATTAATAATGTTTAGTAATTGAGTTTTTTGATGAAAGAATGTTTATTTTAAGTTTCTTTGTTAATTTTTTTAAAACTTTTAATTTGTTTAGCTACTTTTTTGCTATGAATATCTTATGTTTTTGTTAATTTTGTATGCATTCATAAAACACATTTTAATACAGCAGGTCTATTTTTGTTTGTTATTTTCTATACAGTTTTAATAATGCACGCAGTACAGAAAATCATTGCCCAAAACAATAATTTTATTATCCAATTTGCACTTAATATAATGCACAAAATGCAAAAACTTATGGCGCAACATAGTAAATTTAATGCACAAATGTTATTGCGCATAGTATAAAATTTAATGCACAAAGTATTAAAAATAATGCACACTTAATTACGACCCAATTATAAATAGAACATCTGGGGTTGAGCGAAAAGACCCAACGACACAAACAAAGTCATAAAAATTCTTTGTCCATTGTCCCTAAAACGGGACAAGGTTTTGAAGAATTCCCTCGTCGAATTTTGATTTTATAAAGACGTTTTTAAAGTGATGATGGCTACCAAAAAAATTAGAGTGATGAATATTTAGTTTTATTAAATTTATTTCATCTAATGAAAAAATAATGCTCAACTTCCGTATTTACTATACAATACATCAGATATTTGGGGTGTGCATTCGGACTTTCCCTTTTTTTGGTATTTATGTTTATTGCACTTCACAGAGAAGCATTCCAATATTTCTATACGAAACACATGTGCGAAACGAAAGAAATGCTAAAGGAAACGAGTGAAAAAATCCCCAACTTGGAAACGTCATCAAATCTGACAACTGAAAAAGAAAACAAAAATAGAAGTTATGCCGCCAAGACCACACCTAAACAAATTTTGACGAATTACAAGATTATATTTGCATATTAGAACAAGCAGATTTCTTTGTAAGTTAAAAAAAATACAATGAATTCATATATACATATATAACATAATATTAGATATTATATAGGTACAGGTAGATGCCTGTAATACTACGATACTTTAACTGGTTGGTAACTTAATTTTCCTGATAGGTTATACGATTTTGTCAATGCAACCATTTTGCGATTATCCGTTAGATTCAAGTAAATTTAGCATTTTTAAAATTCAGAATTTGTCTTCTGCTTTAAGCTGTAATCCCTTAAATTTATTGCATATTTTTTTCTAGAAATCAAAATATAAGAAAGGCCTTAAAATGGACAATAAATGCCGTCTCTAAGACGTCAGTACATCACGTCAATAGTTCGTTAGAAAATGACGTCATCTGGACGAGACATTTGACCGTCATTAGTACGTCAATATCACGTGAAATCTTTGGTCACTATGACGTAATTGATGACCATTTATTCACGTGAAAAAGAGGACATCATGTTGCCTGGGTTCTCTGTCTAGGTACTTTGGTATTGTTTCTATTATTATCTTTCTATAGTCTGCATTGTACCTAGATTTACTTACACTCGCTCTTCTCTCTTGTTTATCTGTGTCTCTGTCACGCATACACAACTCTTCTCTCATACTCACCCCCATTTCTCTCTTTCTCTTTATTTCCATCCATGCGTATCCTAGTCTTTCATAATATCTTTGTCTACCCTTGTGATGTTCTTTCCCTGCTTCCTTTTTTTTTCCTTGCAGCATTCATACAATATCCTACATTCCTCTCTTTCTTTCAACCTTTCATCATACTGTAATTGTTGTCGTCGAATTACTAACGGAAACGGTTTTAGTACAGGTTTATTTACAATACCAACTACAAAAATGATAACAAGGCCCAAGGTTGTATGTGTATGTCCACGTGGAGGTCTTGAAGAGAGGAGGACGTCTGTACACGGTGAGGGGTCGGAGAAGAAGAGAGTCTGTTTTACGTTTCCACCGTGGCGTTTCCTCTTTGGGCTTGCGTGTTGTAACTGCCAATCCGGTGGCTGCATTATGTATGTATAACTGGTTGCCTACTTCCAGGCGGCCACAGTAGTCCCCTCCCAGTGACTACGTTTCGTAGTCGCGGAATTTCACTGGTGGCCTGGCTGTTCTTCCTGACCTTGTAGTGGTGCTCGTCGACGCAGGTGTTGTCGGGACCTGTTGCGTTGGGGGCTGCACATGAGGCGGAGTGCAGGACTCTGCCGATATGAAAGCCGGTTTTACTCGGTCCAGGCTCACTGTGGTTTCTCTTCCATTCTTGCTTATCACTATCACTTTGTCTGTACGTCGTAATACGTGGTGTGGTCCGGTGTATGGTGGTTGTAGTGGCTTCCTGACTGAGTCATCTCTGAGGAAGATGTGGGAACAGTCAGACAGCTCTGGGTGGACAAAAGTCTTGTGGTGGCCATGGTGGGTTGCTGGCCTTGGTCGGACGTTGCGCATGTGGAGCCTCAGCTTGTCGACGAAATTGCTGGGGTCGACTTCTGGCTCGTCGTTTGCGAAGAAAAATTCCCCCGGGATTCGTAGTTGCGTGCCGTAAGTCAGCTCGGCTGGGGAACACTGAAGGTCATCCTTGATTGTTGTCCTTAAACCTAACAGCACCGTAGGGAGGATGTCGTACCAGTCACTGGTCTCGTGGCACATGATGGCGGCTTTGATCGTTCTGTGCCACCTCTCGATCATCCCGTTGCACTGTGGTCGGTATGGCGTGGTTCGGCAACGTTTAGTGCCCAAAAGGTCTGTGAGGGCAGACATCAGTGTGGCCTCGAACTGCCGGCCTTGGTCAGTTGTAATACGGTGGGGGCAACCGAACCGCGCAACCCAGGTTGCGTAAAAGGTTTTCGCCACCGTCTCCGCCGTCATGTCCGTCATGGGAATTACTTCTGGCCATCGGGTGAACCTGTCTGTCATCGTGAGGCAGTACCGGTGTCCCTGTGATGGTGGTAATGGCCCAACGATGTCCATGTGTACATGTTCGAATCGGCATTCTGTAAGTTCAAAATGTTTTAGGGGTGTTCTAGTGTGCCTACTCACCTTTGACCGCTGGCAAGGAAGGCATTCGCGCGCCCATTTTTTTATGTTGCGTTCCATGTATGGCCACACGAAACTTTTATGTACCGCCTTGAATGTGGCTTTGCCGCCTGGGTGTGATTTAGAATGTACCATGTCAAATACCCTTTTTCGTAAGTGGAGGGGTATGTAGGGGCGAATTCTCCCCGTGGCTGTGTCGCACCAGATCGCCGTATCCGAGTTCATGGGTGTGAGATTCTGGAGTTTCAAACTGGTACTGGAGTTCAGCAGGTTTCTCAACTCCAGGTCTTGTTCTTGGGCGGAGGCGAGTTCGTCTGGGTCGATCACTGCTGCCGTGTGAACTTCGCTGATTCGGGATAATGTGTCCGCCACCATGTTGTTTTCGCCCGGTATGTGTTCTATCTCCGTAGTGAACTGACTGATGAAGTCGAGTTGGCGTAGCTGCCTCGGGGAAGCTTTCTCTGAGTTCTGTTTGAACACGTAAATCAAAGGCTTGTGGTCCGTTCTAACCGTGAAGACTCTCGCTTCTACCATGTAGCGAAAGAATTTGATGGCTTCGTATATCGCGAGCAGTTCGCGGTCGTACGTGCTGTACCTTCGTTGGGTGTTGGTCAACTTTTTTGAGAAAAATCCCAGGGGTTGCCAGTCGCCTTTAACCTCCTGCTCCAACACAGCCCCCATGGCTGTATCCGAAGCATCGGTGGTCAATCTTAATGAGGCGTTCTCGGAAGGGTGTGCTAGCAGCGCAGCACTGGACAACTCGCTCTTGCACTGGCTGAACGCTTCTTCCGCCTCGTTGGTCCAGCTGATTGGCGTCTTGTCATTTTTTTTTTTTTTTTTTTTTTTTTTTTTTTTTTTTTTTTTTTTTTCGAATTTCGCAGATACACATGTAGAGGTGCTTGGATAGATGCGGCATTTTTGACGAAGCGACGATAAAAGTTGATCATGCCGAGAAACTTTCGTAAGTCCTTCACAGTTTGCGGCTTAGGAAAATCACTTATCGCCGTCACTTTCGCGGTTGCTGGACGGGTCCCGTGAGTCGAAATGCTATGTCCTAGGTACTCCACTTCATTTGCCCCGAACACGCACTTTGCTGCATTAACCACGATTTGGTGTTGCTTCAGTCTTTCAAACAGCGTTTTTAAATGTCGCACGTGCTCCTCTGGGTTCGCGGAAAAACTAAAATATCGTCCATATATGCGAAACAAAAGTCTAAATCGTTGAGCACATTATTGAGGTGTCTTTGAAAAGTTTGCGCGGCATTGCGTAGGCCAAAAGTCATCACTGTGAACTCAAATAAACCGAATGGCGTACACACTGCAGTTTTTGGGATGTCCTCGTCGGCCACTCGAATTTGGTGGTAAGCACGTACCAAATCTATCGTGGAGAACACCGTTTTTCCCTCTAGTCTGGCCGAGAAGTCCTGGATGTGTGGTATGGGGTATCTGTCTGGGATTGTTACCCCGTTCAGCCTCCGATAATCCCCACAAGGACGCCATTCCCCAGGATTCTTCTTCTGTACGAGGTGCAGTGGGCTGGCCCATGGACTGCTGGAGGGGCGACACCACCCTTGCTCCAACATGTACTGGATCTCAGCTTTGGCAGCCTTGAGTTTCTCCGGTGGTAGTCTGCGTGGTGTTTCAGCTACAGGAGGGCCGGTCGTGTATATGTGATGCACTACGGAGCTGGATGTTTGACTTCCCGGACGTGGTGCTTTCGTCAATTCCGGGTATTCCGCCAGCAGGTTGTGGTAGCTGGAGGTTTTTGCCACCGTCGTAATACGTGGTACGGAGCATGCCAATACGAAACCAGGGGAAGAGAGATGTGTCAAGGGGTCTACCAGCTTCCGGTTTCTCAGGTCCGGTAGGAGGTGGTAGTACTCGAGAAAATCGGCCCCTATTATTGGTTTCTCGACGTCCGCGAGGATGAAAACCCATTTAAAAGTTCTGCGTAGCTTCAAGTCAACCACCGTGAATTTCTGGCCGAACGTGCGGATGGGTGTGTTGTTCGCTGCAAATAGGGCGGGTGTATCTTGTGTCTGTGACTGAGCCTTACCTGAAAACGTTTTCGGCAGGACTGAGACCTCTGCTCCGGTATCGACTAGGTACCTGATACCGGATTTGGGATCCGTGACGAAGAGACGATGATGACGCGCGTCGTCGTGTACCGCCTCGATACCCGACGGCGCCTCTAGTTTTCCGGCTGTACAAACGTGCAGGGTTTGAAACACTTTCGGGCGTTTACACCGAACTTGGCGTGGTAATAACAAACGCCATTTTGATCCGTGCGTTGCCTGCTGTGTGTCCTTGACCGATTTCGGCGGTCATTTTGCCGTGCTTGAGGACTGCGCCCTCTCGTGTTGGTTAGATGAGTTACGGCTATCGACAAGGCCGCCATCTGTTTCTGGAGGTCTGCAATTACCGTAATGAGGTTAGTTTCCTGCGTTGGTACGATGGTGTTCTGCCGCGTCGTGTCGCTGGTGGCGCCTATCGCGTTGATACTGGAAGCCATAGCGTTGCTTCTGTGTATTTCCGCCAATTTGTCCGCGATTTCTGCCATCTTTTCCAGCGGTACTCCCTCGCTCGCCGACAGCACGAGTTGGACATGTGGTGGGAGTCGCTGTAGCCAGAGCGTTTTTACGACTTCGCTATTCATCTGCTGCCCCGCGAGTGCCTTCATTTCGCGGAATAACTGGGATGGTTGTCGGTCCCCTAGCTCCATCTCGTTTATCAGCTTTCGTAGCTGCTTCTCCTGTGAGTCGGTGTAGGCGGCTATCAGTTTCTTCTTAATTGTGTCGTACCTCTCTTTGTCTGGTGGGTTCGCTACGTCTGTGACCGGCTGGAGTGTGCTCTAGCTTCCGGATGGCTTCTTGCTGTTTTTCGAGTTGCTGTTGCAGTTCTTCGGCAGTCGGCATGTTCGTACCCGTAGTTCTTCGATCACGTCGGGGTCACCAATTGTAATTGTTGTCGTCGAATTACTAACGGAAACGGTTTTAGTACAGGTTTATTTACAATACCAACTACAAAAATGATAACAAGGCCCAAGGTTGTATGTGTATGTCCACGTGGAGGTCTTGAAGAGAGGAGGACGTCTGTACACGGTGAGGGGTCGGAGAAGAAGAGAGTCTGTTTTACGTTTCCACCGTGGCGTTTCCTCTTTGGGCTTGCGTGTTGTAACTGCCAATCCGGTGGCTGCATTATGTATGTATAACTGGTTGCCTACTTCCAGGCGGCCACAATACTTTACAGCTCTTTTCCCAGTGTATACTCTTAATTTCTCTCGTTTACATTCTTCTCTTACTATATAGCCTGGCGTCTCTTTCCGTAGCCCTAACATCCACTTCAAATATTTTTCTTGTACCTATAGGTAGCAGTATACTGCTCCATTTCTGCATATTCCTTCTATCCCCATATCTCCACTCCATACATTAATACACTCCTAACTAAACTATCAAGCATTTTCATCCTTCTTCTTACGTCATGTCCAAAGATTCTCTCACCTATACTCCACACCATTCCCATTATTTGCATTGCTTTGACCCTTCTTTCTCTTATGTGTGGTTTTACCGTGTTGGTTGTTGTAAACTTAAATCCTAAATATTTAAACTCCTTTACTGTGTCTATGATTCGATCTTCCCAACGCCGCATTTTTTATTGTTATGGCAGTCTGTACTTGCCTGCAACATTCATCGTCAGACCGTTGTCACGAGAGTCACGACTTTATTTCTCATACGTTTTTAAAGAAATCTATTGAAATTGAAATATCCGAAAAAGTTACATGTATGACACGCAAAGGAAAGTGTCTTTCCTTTACTCATCGCGTTTCTAATCTAGGCTTCGAATGATGCAAAAATATTTGAATCTTCGTGTTTCGCGGGAGCGGCCTCTCAAGGTTACACTACACCCGTTCCACAAATATTGCCTAAGTTTCGGTACTGGTATTTACTGTGGTATAAGACAAACTGTATTATCTCGTCGTCTACGCTGATTCGAATCAGCGTAAACGACGCTCTATCTATCTATTCAATATCTTTGATTTCACTTCTGAACGGTGTTGCCAGACGTAGCGGAATTTTGATCAAAGAGCGGCGTAGCGGCGATAGCGCAAAATACCTGGAAAAATAGCGGAATTTTTCTGAGACCTGAAAATTGGAAAATTCGAGGATTTTTCGTGCATTTTGGCACTATGTATTGTATTTATAAAAAGTGTTATCTTGAATGGCGGGTGCAAACTTCGAAATTTTTTAATCATCCAACTCATCAACACCTCCCTCGCCCCCTCCGTGACGATGCGATTTTTGCTTGTAGCGGCCTGTAGCAGAATTTTCGACATGTAGCGGAATTTTATCATTTAACTCTGGCAACACTGTCAGAGTCTGAACAGCATAACCCTACTTTCCGGAAAAACGTCAAATTTTGTAGGTCCAACACGTGTGGAAGTTGAACGCTGCAATGTTCAAATAGTGAAGGATTTAGTGGGTCACATATTTTGAAATGAAGAAAAACTGCTGACTTTTTGTTTAATGGATTCTGACTCGGAAGCGTCTGTTCAAGAAAAACCATTCAAATGTAAGGTAGTCGGTTGCATTGCATCGTTTTCGAAAAATAGAAAACTAGTTAACCATCTCAAAAGACATTCAGGCGAAGTATAATTTTTATAACATTAGTATACATTTAAAAAACGACGTTATCGTAGCGTCCTTTTGCGTGTGATGAAGAAGGATGTGATAAAACCTACACCAATAGTTCCCACTTGCAAAGACATAAAAAAAATAGCCATGGACCGAAAACTGAGACTGAACGAGTTATGTGTAACTATGATGGCTGTGGAACTACGTTTGCCAATATGTATTCACTCAAAAAGCACTGTACCCGTAAACATAATTCTGAGCATTACCCATTCAAGTGTGGTGAGTGCTCTCAAGGCTTTGATCGAAAAAAACAGTTGCAGCACCACATGTACCTTCATACTGGAGAAGCCATGTTCAGGTAAATCTCGTGTTATGCTCACGTTTTTAAAAATCAGTGTGTCGTTCTAGTTGTGATAAATGTAACATGAAATTCACAACGAATTATTATTTAAACAAACATAAAAGGCACCACCGTGATTACTACTGTGACTGTGGTGAGGTATTTTATCGATGGTCCTTGCTACTTGCACATAGGAAGATATGTCATAAAAAACGTAAGTTAAAAAGTACCAAAGTAAGATATATGAAATTATAAGGTGTTTTTAGAATATGCGTGTGATATTTGTGATAAAGTATTTTCTGAAGAAAGGAATATGAAAAATCATAAACTAATTCATGTAGATCAGTCACAAAGAAAAGTGTTTGTTTGTGGTTACCCAGATTGTAAAAGGTTCTTCTTTTATAAAAGAAATCTCAAATATCATATTGAAAACTTTCATCAAAAAATCAATGCACACAAGACTTTTAAGTGCACTTATCCCAAGTGTCAAGTTGTTCTTAAAACAAAGGTATGTACTAAAATGTCAGTTATAAATCATCATAACTATCACATCACTTTCAGCAATCACGAAGGCAACATCTGGAGAGACATTTTAAATGGAAGATGAACAAGAAACGAAAAATTCGCCGTGATAAAGGACAAGCAAAAAAATCAATATCATCTCGTTTGATAGTCAGAGGCACACTACAAGAAATTCACGAGAGAGTGACTAGTGAGCAAAATGAAGCTGAAAGCTCTAGTACACAAGAACAGGTTTGTCTTGTTCAGGATGTAGCAGAAGAAGATGACCCTATATTAAAACAATGTCAAGTGGTGTTAAAACTGTTAAATGAAAAATTAGTTAACGCAAGTTGACCTGTAGTTCTTCCGTGGAAAGTAAAGAAAATAATTATAGAATGAGTGAACTTTTTTGTTAGTAATAATATCTTTACTAATAAAAAAATTAAAAATTACGGGTACTAAGACCACGCATTGATTAAGTGCATACAGATAGGTCCATCCTCATCCTATTCTTTGGAGCGAACATGGTGAAGGCCGGCGAATAAGAGATGGCGCACCAACAGTTAGCGGTAGAATAGCTTAGACCCCAATCAAAGTTATTAGGTATATGACAAAAACCATACCTTTCAATACAGTGCCACAGTGGATTGGGGTACTTTATTTATATATCTAGGGACTTTGTTTTATGCGCTGTGGCGATGTGCATTGAGCCATTTGCATATCGCATTTCGAAACATTTTTTTAATATGTCTAGACTTCTTTTCACAGCATGAAACGTAAAACACCTTAAAACATGCTTCAAATAGAAAATTTGTATAAGGAAATATCGATTTTGCTATTTGGCTCCGCCCCATAATTGCAAAATCTATATTTCCTTGCAAAAATGTACCATTTTAACCATGGTTTAAGTTTCTTGTAGTGAAAAGATGACTAGGTATATTAAGAAAAAAAATGCAAAATAGAAGCCCCGCCCACCCGCCCTATCTCAATTCTGATGATTTTTTTATTCGTCGTGGGCCAAGGGGGCGGAGCATAATTGTAAAATCCTGATTTCTCTAAAAGAAATAAAAAACATGTTTTTGAGTACCGTCTTATTCAAAGAATACCATGTATATTAAGAAAAAATTAGAGCCACCCATACCTACTCTGATCTAAATAGTAATAATTTCATTTGTTGGCAGACCTAAGGACGGAATATAATTGCAAAATCCATATTTCTTACAAAAATTTACCATTTTAAACGTGCTTTAAGTTTCTAAGAATAAGAGTCATCACGATTGAGTTAGGGTGGGTGGGTGGGGTCTAAATTTTGCCTTTTTATCTTAATATACATTAACATTGCATTCTTTGAATAACACGATACTCAAAAAATGTTTTTAATTTTTTGTAAAGAAATAACTATTTTGCAGTTAAGCTCCGCCCCCTTGGTTCACGGCGAATAAAAAAAATCACAATTGAAATAGGACGGGTGGGCAGGCTTACATTTTGCCTTTTTGTTTTAATATGTGTAGACTTCTTTTCACAGCATGAAACTTAAAACACCTTAAAACATGCTTCAAATGGAAAATTTTTATAAGAAAATATCGATTTTGCAATTAGGCTCCTTCCCCCATGTGAAAACCCAACTTTAATAAAATACTTTCCAATAATAGACAACTTTTGAAATATGTTGTACTGACGAGACCTAAGAAGATCGAAGTTGCAGTCTACAGATGTTCAGTGTGTTGTCTATAATATTTAGCCAACTTTAGTGGTATAAAAACGGACTTTCTATCTAACAAGGAGTCACGTCAGTGACAAGTGTAATTCGGCGGGGCTCTTGTCCGGGAAGTAGCTGTTTCCATTCACTGGTTGGTCCTCTCATTACGTACGCAATGTTTGCGACAAAATGAAACTCATGATTGCCTACTTCCGCACTAACGCTTGTTACTTTTTAATTACCTACAAAAATGTTTGTTTGTATAAAAGTATATATTATATATGAATTTTAAAAACAAATTTAATTGCAGTATAACTTTTATAAAATTTGAAAAACCCAGCACACCGTTCTGTGACGAATCCGCCTGCCTGAGAAGACAGTAGAAGTATGGCCCTTTGCATAACTTTTTGAGGCACGTACCGGGCTTAGCAGCTGTTGAGTTTTATGAAGGATCCGTTGTAAAATACTATAGTGGAGGCCCAGGCCAGTATACCAAATTTTAACAAGCGTTGTTGCCTTGTCGTGACTATTTCTACCGACTCTGTTCTAATTCATGCCAGGGTACAAGAAGACAGTCTTCTTGTACCATGAGTGGTGTAACATAACTTGGCGCAAAGTTTGAAGAAATCCAACTTTGAAAATGTTTTATGCATGAAAAAATGTTTCAATTTTTGTTTTAATTGCACCAAATTACTTACATCTGTCTGTTGGCAAAACTGAAATTCGTGCAAGTAGCCTATTATCTACATTTAACAACAGACTGTGTGTGCAAAAGAACGAGAAGATTTTTGTAGTTGACAAAATACAATATAAAAATTAATAACTTATTCCCGCCACAATTTGGTGTCGTTCATTTAAACCTCTGTTTAAACTCATTTCCATCTTTTTGCGGTTCACCACTTTGCATTTGAACACATTCCGCCATTTGGAAACATAACGTAGGTTTCCATTTTTTGTTGACAATCACACTTGATGGCCACAAATTTCAAATTTTTGGGGTTTTCGAATTTTGTTCACATGTTTCAATTTTGGCGGAATGTTTGGAACATTTTTAAATTCACGGCGCTAAAATTCGATGTTCAAGGATGCCCCAATATTTCAGTATGTTACCTAACGTGATACCATTTGAGTTACATAAATAAAACGGGTAGTTTTATCAGAATTCTGCATCTGTTGGTTTACCATTCTTTAAGCTTAACACAAATTATGATAAGGTGTATTTATAATTGTTTTCTATACAAACAACTGCGGAATAATGTCAAAAAATATTGAACGTGTAATATAAGTGTATCATTCACGGCTTGAATCATTGAAATGGTCGTCTACAATCTGTGGATACCAAAAATGCCACATTTTAGTATAGCTCGTTGTGTAAGGTCGTTATATTCAACTCTTGAAATTACCTCATCGTGTAAGTACATACTAGTACCAGTACTGTCATTGATATTTTCCATTCGAGAGTAACAAAAATTGTTTTGCTTCTTTATCCAAGCAGTTATATTTCCCGCAATCCTATAATTTATTTGGAATTACTGTTTTTCATTTGATTTTCAAAATTGAACGAAACCCGCCAAAACAAAACCAACCGCAACGCAACCATCAAACGATTTTGACACTTCGGGGAAGCATGTCTGATGTTAAAGGTTAAGTTCCAAGTGTAAAAGTCACCTTGATGGTCATAAATTAATAAAACACTGCCACACCATTTTAAGTATTAGCGGAAACATTTGAAGAAACCGAAACTGTTCACTGTACTAATTGTAATTTATTTATACGTCGAACATGTCACTAGTGTACCTTGCCAAACTTACGAAAGAAGAATTCAAGAATAAGTTCCTAAACAGCATTGATACAATTTTGTTTGACTGCGATGGTGTATTGTGGCTGGAGAATGACCCACTTCCGGGTTCAGTGGAAGTAGTCAATAGACTCCGTGAGCTTGGTAAGAGAATATTCTTCGTAACAAATAACTCGACCAAAATGCGAAACGAATTTGCAATTAAGGCGAAAAGAATGAATTTTAACATTGAAGTGGTAATCATTTCCATTTCTTATAAATATTTCTACCATTAAAATCAATTTTTCAGAATGAAATCATATCAACAGCATATCTAGCAGCAGCGTACTTAAAAAATATAGGATTTAAAAAATCTGTTTACGTAATTGGCTCAAAAGGAATCACACAAGAATTGGACGCAGTTGGGATTAAACATTATGGAGTTGGTGTAGGTTTCATATAGCTATTTTAGCTGTTTTATTTAGTCATGCAATTTTTAGCCAGATGTTTTGCAAAACGCACTTGTCCATGTAATTGAGAAACTAGAACTAGAAACAGACGTGGGTGCTGTCATTGTAGGCTATGATGAACATTTCTCTTATATTAAAATGCTAAAAGCTGCGTCATATCTGAATAACCCCAACTGTCACTTTATTGCTACTAATACGGATGAGAGGTTTCCAATGAGTACAGAGCTTGTTATCCCTGGAACAGGTGCAATTGTAGCAGCAGTGGAGACATGTGCACAAAGACAACCCATTGTTGTGGGTAAACCTAATCCATATATTGTTGAAGATCTAATAAAAAAATATGCTATAGTGCCAAAGAGAACTCTCATGATAGGAGATCGGTATATAAATATATAGAGTTACCTATATTTCAGTAAATTCATTGCATTTATTCTAGAGTTAATACTGATATTCTTTTGGGGAGTAGATGTGGATTTCAAACATTATTGGTTTTTAGTGGAGTAACAACTTCCAAAGAAGCAACAATACTTAAAAATTCCCACAAGAAAGAAGACAAAGAAATGGTTGCTGATTATTATTTGGACAAATTGGGAGATATGTTGCCCTTATTGCCTAGTACAAGTCAAAGATAACAGGACAAGTTCTATTAAATTATTATATTGATTCAGTATTAATAGGATCTTAAAATAAATGTGCTGTCTATTATTTTCTTATAAAGTGAAAGTTCATGTATCATCAGTTCCATTTAAATTATTTATTTTTAAGAGAACTATTAGGACTATTATATAAATAACAATAACAGTGTTATATGAATTTGTTTTATCAAGAATAAACTGTGTGCCATCTATGATCCTGTAGAAACTCTTCTAAGGTATACCTATTTTTATGAAACAACTCAATGAAAATTAAAAAAAAATCATCAAAAGTTATTTCGAAAAAGCTTGCCTTGCTCGTGAAAGACAATAAAACAAACCCACCTTTTTAGAAAATTATAACTGTGATTACTGATTATAATCTAATAAAAACGCATACAGACAGAAACGAGTGACCACATGTCGGAAAAATATGAAAGTGACAATTCGGCCGATGCACTCGATTACTATACCACATGGCAATTTTTTGATCAAAATATATTTGCTCATCCCCCCTAAAAAATGGACGACGGCACCCCAAAATTTTGCTGAATAAATCCTATCTAAAATGTACAAAATATGATGAGCCTCTTCTTGTGATTTATCATTCCATTCATATTTTTTGGATTTGCATATACAGGTGACCCAAAAAATCTTATGAATGCGCAAATTTATTTTATTGATTTAATCAAGAACTACAAAACCGAATGTTTTGAAATCTAATGCGAAAAAAAAACATAATAGGCATGCAGTCGTCACGTTTCCAACAGCGAGGGATGTACTACCTAAACTCTTTAGACCAATTTTTTTGTATAAATTCGAACTGACAGCTCCCAAAATTAACTTCATCGGTTCACCTGCATCCATTCAGTTAAAAATTTATTTTTTTTTAAATGACGTAAGTACAACTGTTACGTTATAAAATTTTTTGACATTCACAAAGTTTTAGTCATGTAATTTTTTTTAGAATATCGTGGTACATGAAAAACAGGTCAGTGAGTTTGTCAAAATTATTTGATTTGAAAAACAAAACATTAATCCAATCCTGTTTTTTTTAAATTATTTTGAACTGTGCCAAAACCTAGTGGTCTAGTTTTCAATGGCCACAACTGTACAATAATTTTTTATTTATAATATAACATTGTTGAAATGTGAAAAACATTTTGAACAGAAGGAACAATTAATAAATAAACGGAATGAGCGCCTTTCGTGTGACTGGAAAATTCTTGAAGTGACTTTGATACCACCAGTGACTCAACAGTATTGTTTCAACCTAAATAGATAGTGTTTTTAGTTTATTTGAATACATGTAATTAATATATACTAGTTACCTGGTTACTTAAAACCCAAGCATACACATACCACCATCCTGTGTTGTTAGCTAATAATAAAGTTAATGCAGTGTACATTATAATTTCCGCCACTGAATGGGGTGAAGATAAATAATTGAACCAATCACCTTCAGGAATTTTATAACTTTGGCTGACTACATCACCTACAATTTTCAACAAATAAAAGAAAATGTGTGTTGCTTTTAGTTCACTACCTTTTGTGTTTTTTCTAAGATTTCCTAATATTTTTGAAGTAACATACTGATGATACCAAGCCCACAAAAACAAAATAATGGCACACATTTCCATTATTCCTAAATGATGAAGATGAACATTACTCTGATCATTACTAAAAGGAATAGCAAATTTTGGTGCTTCACTGAATATTATCAGGAAAACTGCAGGATAATATGCCATTCCTACAAGATAATGTCCTAAATTTATAGTAGCTGACTTGCTAAAAACTGAAACAAAATGAGTATCATGGAATCTTCTAAACACTTGCAACACGAGCAAAACTGTAGCTATCACAACTCGTAAAGCTGAAACTGAAAATAAATCACTATAAATACATTGCACAAAGAAGCAGCTTCTTTACTTGTAGCAACTCTTTCACTGCCGCAAGATATATTTAAAATTGCCTTGTGCCAATCACTAACTTCACCATGCAGTATAAATACCCTAACAATTTCATATATAGCAATTGGACTGTATATAAAAGCACTAGTTAAATAAAAATGCTTAAAATACGACTTTGGAAGTTCCACATTTGTAACTAAAGCTGACTTCCCTTCAGATGCAAATTTTCCATATCGAAACGTTTTTATGATAATCACTGGCAGGTACGGTTCACAAATATTTATGAGGGTTCCCAGTAAAACCATGATAAATGTTATTGATGCAAAAAATACTTTACATATGCCTAGTTTTAATAAGATGTCCATTGTATTTAGTTGCTTCTTGCTGCACACAGTAATGACTGAGTTAAGTAGGCAAGAGAAAGTGGGTTTGTCTGAACTTGCTTGGAGTTGTTGATGTGAAAGCGATCTAAAATTATAAATACAATTATTTTTAATCAAATAGATAGAAAGTAAACAGTGTAACGATGCAATGATATTAATTAAACGTTGCTCACCTTCACAAGCTATCTGCGTACATACCTGCTAATAATGTTTTTCAATGTGCAAACAGGAATATGCCAAAACACCTGTGATAAGAATAAAACATCTGCACATAAATTTTAACCAAAACAGTTATTCCGTACTTTACACGTAGTCGAAACTTATCCTGAAAATACATATAACTTATCATAGTTTTAAACACGGTTTGGCTGCGTTTATTTCACGTTTCAGACATTTACGTATTTTAAATTTGAGGCCACATAGGCCTTTAGGCCTACAAGCCAGGAGTTAACCTAACCTATAACTTTGACCTGTTGTTTGTGAAGAACCTCTGGAAGGAACGAAATTACGAATCAAATCGAATGGTTCGAGTTCGAACGAATCGTTTTGAACACAGATTTTGACTTATCAACCAGCGATTGTCAATTATTCTAAAGTTGAGATCTTTTCTATAGAACCACTAGAGTAAATTTTCAAAATTTGTTTGGTGTAAGTGACCTTGACGGGTTTTCGGGGGGAAAACATATGTGGCAAAAATTTGTAAAGTTGGGCCCGTCTAATTTGCAGACCACAATTTATCTTGCAGACTGGGGGTTAAAAATGCTGCAGTCAAGTCAAAACTCCTAATTTGCGTATTTCTCAATACGAAGATTGTTGATACAAAATTTCAACTCGTTCGGAGAAACCCTTAAAAACCACCCCCAAAACAACGTTGCCGACTGGGCCTTAAAAATACTCCAATCAAGTCAAAGTTTGATATTCGCTAGTTTCTAAATACGAGGATTACCGATACAAAATTTCAGCCTATTTGAAGAAACCCTCAAAAATCACCCCCAAAACAACCTTGCAGACTGGGAGTTAAAAATGCTCCAATCAAGTAAAAACTCGACATTTGCTTATTTCTCAATACGAAGATTATGGGCACAAAATTTTAACCCGTTCTCAAAGATCCTCAAAAACTACCCCCAAGACAGACTTGCAGACTGGGTGTTAAAAATACTTCAATCAAGTCAAAATTGGACAGTAAGTTGCTTATCTGTCAATACGGATATTGTTCATACAGAATTTCAACCCGTTCGCAGAAACTCTTAAAAACCACCCTTAGAACATATTTACAAACTGGGTGTTAAAAATACCCCAATCAAGCCAAAACTCGACATTTCCTGATTTCTCAATACGATGGTTGTTGGGACAAAATTTTAACCCGTTCGCAAAAACCCTTTAAAAGAACCCTCCAGACAGACTTGCAGCTTGGGAGTTAAAAATACTTCAATCAAGTCAAAACTCGACATTTGCTTATTTCTCAATACGAAGATAGTTGATGCAAAATTTCAACCCGTTCGGAGGAACTGTTAAAAACAACCCCCTAAACAACCTTGTAGACTGGACCTTAAAAATATTATTACCAAATCGAAACTTAGTATTTAGTTTTAATCTATACGAGAAGTGATAAGGCAAAAAAAACACAGCATATTTTAAGCTGCTCTTAACAAGTACCCCAAAGTAATCTTTCATACTGGAGCTTAAAAGTATGCACTCCAATTGAGTCGAAAGTTACCACTTGCTGAGTTCTTTACATAAAAAATCATCATGTTAAATTTTAATCACCTTGAAGCAACTTATAAAAATGATTGATAGTTCAGATTCATTTAAAGTACAAGTAGCAGAAAAATTTCAGACACATATAAAGAAACAGTACATATTTCCAAAGTATCATAGAGGTAGAATGAGAGGAGGTAAGATAGTTTGAAAAAAATGCCTGGTACTGCGCTTTCTACTGGGGTCATAAATGCAGTGGCGGCTCGTGACTGTCTGATGTGGTGAGGCGATGATAGAAATTTGACAATAATAGTAATATTACCTGGTCTTACTAGTTAGTAATGATAGAAGTCTTGCCTGAATACCGGTCATTCCCGGGTCAGTGGTAGGTCCTAATAATAATAATAATAACACCCATAACACATTCAATCAACGATGTTTTTACAAGTCAAAATTTTGTTGAAAGTAGCACTTTCTTGGAGGGATTCGGGAATAGTTGTTGTGTCCTTTTCTAAACGTTTTAAGCCCATGAAATTTTTAATGTGTACTTTGGAACTTTCATGTAACTTTCCACTTCGGATGAAATTCTTTAAATCGTTATATCCCCGGATGTTATGTAAATATTACGGCAGAGCCATTTATATGTTTCGTAGGTACCAAGTTGATTTAAAAGACTTGGAGTACTGACGATCTGTCGCTTATCAATGGAAGTTAAATGAATTAACGGTTTTGATTGCTCGATATTTAGCAAAATTTGCCCACGTTCTAGCTCGGTTCGCCGTGAAAACGGCGTTTCAAGAAGCAACATGACGATATCGTACTCGGGATTCATTTTTCACTCACCTGTACCTATGAAAGAGACAATAACACAAAACACCAACACGTGGGTTTTTATTCACGTTCATGCTAATTACCCACGCACCCCGCAACCCTACCGTTCTGTAAAATAAATGGAAAAATGGTTTAATGAGTACGCCGAAATTGGCCGAGAAGCACCGAAGATATCGCCTCAGTTCCGAGCGAACGCATGTATAGGAGTATAGGAGCTGAGCCATGGAAATCCGTGTCTGTGATTGGGCTTCGCTGGTTCAAGTGAACCGACGTTCTGGGCGCTTCAGTTAAAGAACTAGGGGCTTAATCGTACGGTATTCAACGGAAAATGTCAGCAGGAAGCGTAAAAAATAAAAAATCATGTACAGATTTGCTATTTCAACATATTTTTGTAACTAAAAATACATTGAAAGCTCTTTTTTAATTATAAATTAAGTCAATCTGTTCTTAAGATATATGCTGTGAGGCGCCGCCTCACTTGCCTCATCTGACGAGCCGCCACTGCATAAATGGTTCTTCCAGGTCCTCCGAGAAACTGGTTGTTCCAGTGGCGTGCTCGAAAGCGTTTTTTGCGGGATACTAGGCATAAAACAAAAATAATTTCATAAAAAAGCATATAAAAGCAGCAGCAGCAAATTTACTTGTGTTTTTAATTGGTTATTTTGTTAAATTAAATTAAATTTTGCGTTTATTTGTCTTCTTTTTTTTTTGTTAATTTGTACATCATTTGTCAATAGTGAATGGTTCTTTAATAAAATAACGATCACTAGTTAAATTAATAATTTTTAAAGAAGGTCAGTGGGCAATACTAAGTAGAAAGGTTTACAACAGCGGCTGGGAAGGCAATTTAGAAATACAATTAAGAAGAACAATTTACAAACAAGTTAGAGAAATGGACGTGGACACCATCCAAAGGCTGTAAGACCTACATATGAAGATAATTTTGCGTCGTATTGAATATAACGGATCTTTATCTATCTTCCCATTAATAATAATTAATTAAGAAATTAGCACACTTTTCTGGGTTCGTTTTGAAATTCAAATAAAATTAAGTTTGAGCTTCCTATTATTAATTTAAACTTTCTCTCAAAACGTTTTTTTTACGTTAGGTTTCTCAGAAATTAAAAATGTCTCTAATTTTCTTTAAAATATCTTTAAGGTTTTGTTTCTTCTGAATTTTAAATTTTCTCTTCTGGACATCACTTTGTATTTTTTGACTGATGATTAGAGTCCGGAATTTTATACACGAAATTTGGCCAAAATATGTGCATATATATATGCAGAAAAATAAGAAAATATGTTTTAATTTTACGAAAATGTGCAAAATTTTTAGTATGCACACATTTTGTACTTTTTTTTTAATGAGTATACAATAACACCCAGTCCGCATATCAGTTTTCAGGGTGGTTTTTAAGGGTTTCTCCGAACGGTTTGAAATTTTGAATCAACAATCTTGGTATTGAGAAATAAGCAAATATCGAGTTTTGATTTGAATGGAGCATTTTTAACCCCCAGTCTGTAAGGTTGTTTTGGGGGTGATTTTTGAGGATTTCTCCGAATGGGGTGAAATTTTGCCTCAATAATTCTCGTATTGAAAAACTAGCGAATGTCAAATTTTGACGTGATTAGAGTATTAGGCAAAGTCTGCAAGGTTCTTTTGGGGTAGTTTTTAACGGTTTCTCCGAACGGGTTGAAATTTTGTATCAACAATCTTCGTATTAAGAAATAAGCAAATGTCGAGTTTTAACTTGATTGGAGCATTTTTAACCCCTAGTCTGCGAGATAAACTGTGGTCTGTAAATTAGAAACGCCTGGGCAAATGCAAGCTTTATCCTAGATTTCATCATTTATCATACAATGGAATGACATCAGTTGAATCGAAAAAGGGTTTTCAACTGCATGCACAATAAATAACTGCAACATTACTTATGGTTTTTATTTTTACTTTAATGCATAGTTACATTACAAAAAGTATTTATGAAAAATTTAATTATGTTTATGTTTCTCTTGGTGGACTTGGGGTCCATGCTTTAAAGCTGTAACAAGAAAACTGTAAAAATTAAAATTATTGTTTGCTTTTACCTACTTACATTTCTTGTTGGAATGTCATATTTTCTTCAGTTGATTCTAATTCAATATTTAATACCAACATTCTGTGAAGAATTAACGTAATCTTCCTTCCCCCCCACTCGACGTAATCCTGTCGTCGTACAGCACAGGGAACCTTCATGTTAGGAATATATACTGTATCCTCCCCTGTGATCAATGCTGTTTGCAAAGGAGGCATAACATCGTTAAGTAGTGTTATATTATATATGTATTGATTAAAAGTGAGGAGTGAAAACACTGTGTACCAGGTGCAAATGTGCTCTGAGATTTTGTGGTCATATTACTGGTTAGCTTACAAAAATTAATCAATTTTTCTGGAGAAATACACGTATACTATCGTGGTCTGGTTGGTCTGTTGAGCTTACTACGCTTCGCATTTTGCTCAAGATAAGTGCATTTTGCTTAGATTGTTTATTGTCCTCAGTCTTGAGGCTTTTTACCTTCCGCTATCAATTTCTTTGCTTGCGCTCAGCTGATAGCCTATATAGCTGCGTTTCTAACACCTTATAGGCGGCGAGCGAATTTTTAAATAAGCGCCCCCTGCGAATGACAGCGAAACCATCGGCATAACAACAAGGTCAAACTTGTCATTTCACCTTTGTATTTCTGCAGATACGAGCCGTAATTATTCTTTTACAATAGGTTTTAACGTGACTTGAGTTATTTTGTGTGTTGTGATGGAAATTGAACTGAATTTTGGGTTTGAATCAGTTCATTTTAACCACAGAACTAGTGTAAGTGAATAAAAAGGTGAAGCATTAGTGCTTGCTGGGCACGTTATAAATGTCAAAGAACGAAAATTAGTAAACTTTTCCATCATATAGGCCAACGTAATGCGACAAACCAACGTCAATTTACCCCCCTATTCTGTGGAAATAGAAGTAAAATAATTTGCAAACACGTACGTCTGGGAATATTGTAGGTATAAATTCTGAATTATGAGGGTGGTTTGATTTCGTATTTCCAATGAAATGCTGACTGTAAATTCTAGAATATGGTTTTGGTTCCCAACTCTTTTTGGTATCAGACCTTTAAGTAGTATTATCGGCATCAATTAACGGGTGTTTATAACCATATTATTTGTACAATTTTTGCTATCCACTTCTGTGACATTCAGACGGTCTACCTCAATTTTGGACAAACATGTTTGCGTAGAAGGTTTATTTTACTGTTTTTTATGTGTATTCGTATGATGTTTATCATTTTGAATTTTTTTAAACACATTTTAGTGGAATTGAATTTTGCACTATATTCGAAAAGACATTTCTATTTTTGAGGTTAACGCGCGTAAGTCACAGAAATGGACTTGACTTTGGAATAGTTTACGTACTTTTGTCTCTTAACAGCATTTATTCATTGTGTACGTCGTTGTTTCTCGTGTGATAATGAAGGAAATCTATAAAAATTGACACTTTTATCCGTATTCGTGTAATTGTTGTGACAACCGACGACGCAACAATTAGTGCACATAACGTGAAAACTGGTGTTTAATTTTGCTGGCTCTATTTCGACTCAAACTACGCCAATCAAATTATCTTTTATCAACTTCTTCTGGCACTAGTAACTAATAAATCCGTAAAAACACTGATTATAAACTGTAAAGACACATACAATCCTCCACGGAACATTCAGCCGTCATTGTCTGTGATTATGTCATCTGTTGAGCAATCGGCCGCGCGAGGGCGCCACCGGCATTTTCTCGTGCTTCCTATATGAGGAACGTGTATTATGTTAGATCTATTGCTGTAATTTTTGCTAGCACGGCTTATTGTTTACTTACAATATTTTTTTTACACCTGGCACTGTATTTGATTTTTTTTTCTTCAATATCTATATTGGAATACCTAAACCAGTGACTATATATATATGCAAGGTTAATCAGCTAAAATGACTCATTTGTATCACAGTATAGATATCAATCAGTAGAGACAACTCCCTCTTTTTACTGACCCGTTTTCATGGGTGGTCGTTTGTCTTGTGACCGTATGAGAGCACGCAACGCAAGGTACTTTTCTTTCTTACACATTGGGACATTGAACTGCGGTACTTTGGTTATCTAGTGACTTTAATGTGAAATATTTGAAATTTGGCAGTTTAGTTGCATTGGTTTTGATGATTTAAGGCTGATCTTCCGGTGTAATTATTGCAGTTAAATGTAATTTTCACAGAGACATTTTAAAAAGCGTTGTTCACGTTTTCATAGGACCGTTGTTTACTATTTAATTTTTTTGTAAAAAAATTAAATGTACATACAGGGTTAGTCACGAGAGAATTACTTCTGAAAATTTTTTTTACGCAACCCAAAATACGAATACCATGTACCATTTGATACTAACTGAATTTAAAATGAAATGTTTAATCCATGATTGCTTTGAGTTTGGCAATCTCATTTTGACAATTGTGGAAAAGGAGGTTACGCGAGTGCCCATGGTGGTACCGCATCCAGTCGGAAATCTCCTTTGGCGCCGCTAATAAATTTGTCAGTGTGCCTCTTGATCTTTTGCAACCGATTAATCACGAGAAAATTATTTCTAAAAATTCCTTTTACGGCATTTTATTCAAAGGTTACAACACAAACTCAAACAAGTAAGTAAATAATTTAACTACTAATCTGTTGAAAATGTTGGGCATTTTGGAGGGATGCTACGGCTTTTTTGTAAATGGATGGTCGAAGAAGTCCAGAGGTTGCAGATTTGCACTTCAAAGAGGGTCTAGGTGACGCAGAGATGGCGAATTAACACATGCACATTAGCGGCGAACAACATTGGTAGAGCACTTACGGCTTCAGTATAGCCCAGATTATCTGACTGTATGTCGTCGATCCAATGGGGCTCTAGAGGCGAGTCAACGATGAAAAAAAAATGTTAAAAATTAATTAACGTCAAAGTGACACTGCCAAAGTCAAAGCAATCGTGGATTAGGCATTTCATATTAAATTTAGATAATATCAAGTGGTACAGGGTATTAGTATTTTGGGTTGCGTAAAAATAATTTTCAGAAGTAATTCTCTCGTGACTAACCCTGTATATTAGCGTTTTCTAATAACGTTGAATTTTACAACCATTTACCACCATCATGAAAAAGAAATTAATGAAATGTAAAACCGTAATCAGAGAAACGGGCCACATCTAAATTTCAACACGGCATCTCTGTTATAGGGCGCTTAATTAATTATTTATTATAGGAGACTGTGCGGTTTCTAAGATCAACTGGTTACAAAATGTTATTGTTATTACACTATTTTTAAGTCTTTTCCAAAAATTCATTTGCACAAAGTGTAGTAAATTGTGTACACGAATCAATTTTAAAATGAAGCGTTTGTGATCCCATGGCCGACTCCATTAATCTCTAAAGAGATATGGCCGTTCCAATCGGCGTTTACAAATTGGCTATCCAAACAATTGAAAAGTTCTCTAAAGTGGTGCCATCTGACAATGGAAATGTTAAAAAAATACAACCCCGATCGAGTTGACATTAAATTTTGACAATTTGTAATTTAGTAACGTCAAATAAATTCAGATCAGGAATGTTCATAACAGAACTCATTTTATTATATCAAATGAAATAAATAAAAATAACAATGGAAAATTTTAATCATGTTAATGTAAGTAGATATACCTGAATACCTATGCACTAAATAATAATAAAAAGAAAATTACAACTTTAGAACCTTTCTGCGGACTGGTTTGTGCTGCAACAATTTTATCTTGACCATTGACTAATCAGTCTGTGGTTTCAAGACATGTTGTCCAAAACAGGTTTTACAGTTGTTGTTACAAATTTACATACTAAACGTTTATGTTTTTCACATTTAAATAGAGGGTTCTTTTCTAGGTGAGGAAATATTATGTTCAGCAACTGTTCACAAGCTCTTTCAAATTTTAAAAGTGGAAAAATTTGCAATGCAATGTCCGATATTTGTTTCACAACCCCTACAAAACGAGAATTCGGATAAGTTAGTCCCCCACCATCTTGTAAAAAAAATAATTTTAAGAGAGGTCCAGGAAGTTCAAATGATAATAGCGGAGAAAGACAGTCATCACAGTGAAATTTGTCATCTAATTTTTTTATAATGTACCCTGCTAAAAAGGGACAGAAGCGGAATAAATATCTGCACGTTGTTCAATATTCTTGCACAAATTGATTCTTAAATATTTGTCAGCTGGAAATCCAAAGAAAGGTTTAGTACTGTTCCCACATAAATAACATTTCTTCATGTCTAACGATTTGTTTGCAATTACCGCTCAAATTAGGATAAAACATCATTGTCAGTCAATAAAGAAATCTGTAATTAAAAATTATAATGCGTAAGGACCACCAGAGTCCGCCAGTTTAGGGTCACTTCATGGCATACTTTCCGTACTTGCCAAAAAATGCCGAATGGAACGGCCATATCTCTTTAGAGATTAATGGAGTCGGCCATGGTGATCCTTTTGGGTGGCGACATCTAGAAATATTTTGGGCAACTACCACCGATGACGGCTTAAAATTTGGCTCAGAAAGATCAAAGGCGCCGACACGAGTTGTCCATACTGATTGATGTCTATACTGTGGTTGGGGTCCAAGCTATTCGCCGGCGATTGACGGCTGTCACTGCTGTTTCTGTTTTCCTGTCATTGTCACGTGGTTTTGACTTTACTGACAGTAATCTGACTCGTTAATCAACACTCCACAGTTGTGGGTCCCTGGTTGTGGGGGAACCATTTAACATTACTAATGTGTGATGTAATCAGTCGATTATATTTTTGAACACAGTTTCATGATAAGATTTTAGGTAAATGAATATAATTTATCTGCAAGGGTTAGTTAGAAAGACTGAGATAATGACTGACAAAGAACAGCAAAACCCTCCACATCATCAAAGAAGGCAAGTCCCAACAAACAGGGCCCGGCCAAGTCACAGTCGCATATACCAACATCTTGGTGTTAGAGACTTGAGAGAAATAATAGACCGTAAACGTCAAGAACGAGGCCAAATTAATGTAAGTATGTATAGTCATGCTCAGATAAACCTCGTACAGATGACAGTCTGAATTGGTATCCATGGTGGTATCTAAATGTGTAGTTAATCGCTATATAAATTTATGTTGTAGGAGTGTGGTGTGCCCCCTTCTGATCCTTCCTATAATTATTTAAAGGATCCTTTAAGAGAAAGTGCAGAACAAAATGTTCAAGAGTCGAGGCAGACCTTTCCCCGAAAACCCAAAGTAAATATCTTGCGCATTTTTAACAGTGACTTGTAATTAATATTTTTATTATAATTTAGAACAATGATAATTTTAAAAGAGACAGACAACATCAAAAAGGACAAACAACAAGTCAAGTAAAATATAATGATATCAAAAATCCATTAAATATAAAAGTTGAATTTTCAACTTCAACTGGAGAACATGTATATAAATTGGATGAAAGTTTAGTTTTACCAACAATAAAACATGTGCCTGATCACAGGCCAGTTCAAAACCGTTCATTTAGAGGCAGAGGACGAGGGCGTGGAAGAGGACCAAGAAGTTATCATACCAGAACGATCAGAAACAACAGATGGCAAAATGAATCAGTTTCAGGTAAAGTTACAAATGCTGAAGGAATAACACCAATTTCAAGTACGACTGAAGAAAATTGGGATGATGAAGTAACTAAAACAAGAGACATTAGTGAACAGGAGTCTCAAGAATGTAAAGAATATGATGACGTAGAAGGTCAAGAAGAACCTCAGAGTGAACTGAAAATACAACAGGTTAATGATGATGAAAATGTTGTTTTACAAAAGGGTATTGAAAATTTAACGATGAATGAAAGTGAGACTTTACAAGTACCATGTAAAAATGAAGAATGTACCTCTGAAAGCATATAATGCAGTTTTCTGTTATTACTACAAAGGTAATCAAGAGTATAATCTATTCTAAATTATTTTAAACTGAAGTAATACCCTTCAAAGTACTTAAAGTACTTATTTAATAAATGTTTTAATTGTATTAATATTTTATTTATGATTTCATAATTAATGTAAACTACTATAACTATGTTTTATTAACAACAAAATTTAATTTATTTTGTACAGATTGGAGATTATATATTATGTATCATATTAACATGGATTTTTGTATATGCACGTTTCAAAAGTTATAAAGTGAAATTTGCAGTTATTATATTTTCTTTTGACAGTTGAATGAAGCTCTGACCACAGTGCTCATGTTGTCTGTTAATCAATCTAGATTGCCCACCTGGTTTCTCTATCCAAGTCTTTTGTTTTTTAAAAGTAACTTCACAAGTTGCAACGTGTCCACTATTGAATTTCACTTCTATGGACTTCCAAAAATTAAATAATCAGGTTCATATCTTTTATTAACTTAATTCATATTTTTGAAACATGTATATAAAAAATGTAGTGTATGCATGAAACATGAAGCAAACGAACAACAGTAAAAGTAAGATCATTTTTCAAAAAAAAATCTTCGTATTTAATAATTGTGCAAATAAATAAAATTTGTGGCAAATCTATAATTTCTTACGAAGGATTTCGTAAGAAATTGATAGCTGCCATTTGCCATAAATTAATTAATGATCTCTGCATTGTAAATTAACAAAAAATTAAGTGACAACTAGGATTTTTGTTGAAGAACGACTTACCGATTGTACTTAGTTTGCTTCATTTTTAACAGTGCTGTAGTTTTTAAAACGATTGGTTGTGATATTGGCAATAATAACGCATTTTAATAAGCGAACTAATTTATTATATTTATGATAGAATTTTACATAAATGTATTAAAAAACACAGAGTTTTTTGGTGATTTTAATTTTTCCGCTTCATGTTTTATTTTTTCCACCAGTTCAGTATCATTTATATTATGCTGAAAAATAATTTATAATAATCCATAACCAAACGCATTGTTTATACGAACATATTTTTGAGGCATGCAGTGTAAGTGTTGTTAAATAATAATTTAAATCTATATATGCAGGATTAGTATAAAGTCCCGGAACGATTGAATAACTTTATTTGAAAAGCTTTTTTTTGGGAATTTGGTGTGGATATAGGTATAGTTAAACATGGCGATTTGATTACAATATTTTTCCTTTTTTTATCGCTTTTGGTTTGACACCAAACGTGTTGCCATCTATTAATAACACAGTAGAACAGTGTTTTTGTTGCATATATTTTTTCAACATGGTCGGAAAGGTAATTTTGTGCTGAACAAGAGATAATATACCCATGTCGTCAAAAAAAAATCAAATTTTTAATTACGTCTACGAATACTTAAGCTGTCTAGAATATGTAGAAGGATCTAACTCTTTATAAAAGCCTCATGTATTCGGAAAGAATGAATACTTGGGTCTTTCTCTTAAATCTTTGTTCGACTTTCTTGATTTCTCGATGAAAAGATTATCAGCAAAGCAATTTAAATGAGACATAATTTGTGGAACGTTTGTTTCCTAAAAATTCACTGATCACTAATCTAATTGATTCCCAAATAAATTTTTCCGTATCATTCAAATAGAACATTTGATCCTTCATTCGAATTTCAAGCCCAATGAAAATTCCTAAATATAGAAAACGTACATAATATGAAAACTGAAATTCACTGTAATCTTTTAGTTTTTACCTTGGTTTATGTTAGCAGCAGAAAGCTTAGAAAATATTGTTTTCAGATGTTGAAATGAATTCTCTCTTGTATTTCAGTTGCATAAGAAGCACATTTGATTGGTATATCCAGACTGGAAGTCAGTTACTAAAGCTACAATTTTTAAAACGCCTATCAAATTGCACATGTTTCTGCAGTTTGTATGGAGTATGTAGTCGGCAGTACTAGATATTTATTCCCATTATGCAATAGTAGTAGTACACCTTTTTAATAATAATAATAGTAATAGCATTTATTGCCAAACAGTATACACCATTTATAGGACAACACATTGTATAATATACCTACATAGTATAATGTAATTAACAAAATAAGAATTAATTAATTATATAATTGTGAAACAACTTAATTATGAGTGAAACACAAACATACAAAAGAATCTACAGTTTATAAGCAATATTGTAATCGAGTCCGTCGGCCGACTCTCTACTTTTACATTTTCTCGATCTTTCATGACCCCTAGAAGACGAAGAAATAGGTCTCCCGTTTCCGTCTGTCTGTCCGTCAGTCCGTCTGTCTGTCTGTCCGTCCGTCTGTCCGTCTGTCTGTCTGTCCGTCTGTCCGTCTGTCTGGCGTCCCGGATTTTTATTAGACAGATAATCTCCGAAAGTACTGGGCCGATTGTTGTCAAATTTTGCATTTACATTAGGTATATCATGTAGATGGTATTGTATTTATATTAGGTATATCATGTAGATGGCAAAACGCTAACCAAAATTTGTCTAATCATCCCCACCACTAATATGATGACGTCACTTCAAAATTATACATAGTAATTGGGTTTTAAATTGTATCAAATAACATAGTCTTACAGATGTAAGTTTGTAGTAAGTAATTGAGATGTATTGTTACCCGAAACGTCTAGATTTTTGGAAAAAAATCAAAATTAGGAAACAACATTTTGACATTTAATTTGGAATCTACAAAACCGAATGCTTTGAAATCTTGCAGATAGTTTGTGGTTATGATAAGCATGATAAAATTTTAATCACAATATATTTACTTATCCCCTCTAAAAAATTGACGTCATCACAAAATTTTGCCGAATAAATCCTATCTAAAATGAACAAAATATGGTGAGTCTCTTCTTGTCATTTATCATTCCATTCAAATTTTTTCGATTTCCATATACAGGGTGACTCAAAAAAATTAATAAATGCGTGAATTTATTTTATTGAGTTAATCAGGAACTACAAAACCGAATGCTTTGAAATCTTGCAGATGTTTTAAGGTTATAAAGAGCATAATAAATGTTTAGTCAAAATATTTTTGCTTATCCCCTCCAAAAAATTGATGACGTCATTGTCAGCTCGAAAGTTTACCGAATAAATCCTATCTAAACTGTACAAAATATGATGAGTCTGTACTTGTAATTTATCACTCCATTCATATTTTTTGAATTTGCATATACAGGGTGACTCAAAAAAATTAATGAATGCGTAAATTTATTTTATTGATTTACTCAGGAACTACAAAACCGGATGCTTTGAAATCTTGAAGGTGTTTTAAAGTTATCAGCATGGTAAGTTTTTGATCAAAATGTATTTGCTTATCCCCCCTAAAAAATTTATGACGTCACCACAAAATTTTGCTAAATAAATCCTATCTAAAATGTACAAAATATGATGAGTCTTTTCTTGTGATTTATCATTCCATTCATAGTTTTTGAATTTGCATATACCGGGTGACTCAAAAAAATAATGAATGCGTAAATTTATTTTATTGATTTACTAAGGAACTGCAAAACCGTATGCTTTAAAATCTACTGCGAAAAAAAACATAATAGACTTGCAGTCGTCACGTTTCTGACAGCGAGGGAAGTACTGTCTAAACTCTTTAGACCAATTTTTGTTTTTACACACAAAGCAAGTTCTAACCATTTTGAAGCGGTGGTTTGTTTCAGTATGAATGCCTTTGTGCCTTTCAAAAAATGTTAATAATCCTTTTGTCGTTTTTGAATTATTAATAGATGGCAGCACGTATGGTACCTCTTGGACAGGCCATAATCTTTATACTAGTCGGTCATGGACACACAAGGCCGCCTACTTATTTTTTTTATGGAACACCCAGATTTTTTTTTAATTTTCTGATGTATGTTAAAAAACTAATTTCAGAAATTATCAAAATATTTATTTCTACTGATACAAAAACGTACTGATACGTACATACGTCATACGTCATACGTCATCTTCTGAACTAAGTATACAGGGTGTTATTGAAAGGTAGCTACAACAAAATGGACAGTTCTTCGCGAAGTCTAAGAAGTCGGAAAAACTTATTTTGTGTTATCAAAATTATAAGGGGAAAATTAACCCTTCGCCAACCTTTTTAGACGCTACTGAAGGACTATTAAATAGGTAAAATTAATTAATTTTAGTAAAACGTAGCAACTGTAACAATAAAACTTTTGTCAATACTAAATGTTGCTATAGAAACGAAAGATGATCTTTTTATCAGAGGCGTACAACGAGTTTGGACATAAATTTTAATAATTTTTATAAAAGGAGAACACTTTTACCTGAACTTTTTTTTTACTTTTAGCACCCATACTTCGAGACCAATTGTCGATTTCATTTTGTACGTACCTTTCAATAACGGGATGTATAAAGGGTTTTGTGTTTTTTCAAAATAGTCGCATATACTTACGGTGCATCAAAATCTGTTCTCATGGAATGAAATACCTAATTGTTTTCTATAAAAATGCATCTCCCGTTATTCTTTACCATGCGTTTAGTGTGAGTAGTTAATGATCTTTTTTAGTACACTGACCGGCAAAAAAATCGGCCACCCTGAAAAATTTCGCAAAACCACTTTAAAAATTATTAATTTACTAGTGATTGTTATTTAATTAATGAACCATTCACTATTGACACATGATGTACAAATTAGCAAAAAAAAGAAGACAAATTAACGCAGAATTAAATTTAATTCAACAAAACAACAGAAACAGATCAAGTACGACATCTCCTTTAAAAAAAAAAACAATAAAAGAGGCTGTTGTTGTAAACAGTGTTTTTCATCATTTGATTATAAGTTTGGCAATTAATAAACGTTTTCACGCGAAAACAATTCCTTTAACTCTTCCAGACGTCTCTCAAATTGTCGTTCTGTTTCTGTTATTTTGTTAAATTAAATTTAATTCTGCTTTTATTTGACTTCTTTTTTTTTGCTAATTTATACATCATGTATCAATAGTGAATGGTTCTTTAATAAAATAACGATCACTAGTAAGATTAATAATTTTTAAAGTTTGGTTTCACAAAATTTTTTAGGGTGGCCGGTTTCTTTTGCCGGTCAGTGTATTTGTCTTTTCTTGTTTACACTATAATTATTTTATTTATTTACCTTAAGCGCTAATCCATAACAAAGCTCAGCCTCACTTATATGTCGCATTTTTAAGTTAATTAAGGCCAAGTAACCCCAACACACACCAACTGAATTATTTAATAGAACCGATTCCGAAAAACATTCTTCGGCACTTAGGAGATCATTTTGCTAAAAGTATATAATAGACTGCATTTAGAAGAATGTAGAACTTATTGATGAAAAATAACAGCAAATACCGCTAGATATGCGATTCCACAAGCCATCCATGTATAAGGAGTAGGATGATTTTTGCATGCTATTAAAAGTATTTTTCTAGCTTCCTGTATGTTGTCCATTATCTCTGCACAATTTATATAAAGTAGATGCATGTCGTCTGGTCTTTCAAATGATTGCAACACTTGTAAATATTCATAAAGTGCTTGTTCCGGTTTTCCAAGGGCTAAATAACAGTGGCCCGTCAAACTTACAACAGGATAATCCTAAAAAATGATATCAAATATCCATTATTTCGACTACCTACTTTGTTTTTTTATAAACAAATTATTGTGTACTTACGGAACCATGAAAGAATCGAGCTTTTTCTAAATGTTCCAAAGAGTGTTCATATCTTTTTCTGTAATAACAAATTACAGCCAACATATAGTGAACAATTCCTGTGTGTTTTAGCTCACACGCTAAAGCGTTTTCTACCCACTACATGAAGTAAATTGTAATCGTTTTCTATTTAAACATTATACGTACGGAATAGGCTCTCATTTTCAGAAGGAGGATACTAGCCTTAAAATATATCGTTTTGGGACAAATGCTGGATGTCCAGATTAAATCTTCTCTTTTTGAGAAAGCATCGTCCTTGTAGCGAGGATCATCTAAGAATTTTAGTGCCATTTCTAGTGATAAGTCCATTCCTCCCTCATTTTCGACATCTTTGTAAAATAAATATAAAACGACCCAACCTGTTAAAAAAATTCGAAGTGTCGACAGGAATATTGCTTTAGGAATTTTTACCTTCTACCCAACGTGGTTGGTGAACCATTGTAGTAAGTAAACATAATTCAGCTTCCACTAACCGTCTTTTTTCTGCCAAGAGAATTCCATTTAACAGTAAACTACAAATATGATTATATTACTTTTTAAGATTTAAACCACGAACACCTGTTTTTGTGGTAAATCTTTCTGGATAAAGCTTCCTGTAAACACATAAACGCTTTTTCAAACTGACCCCGTTGAAGGTTAAACACCGCATAATTGAACCAATGATCTGCATTCTTGGAACCATGGTGTAATATCTACAAATTACACATGTTAATCAGAATTAGTGTTTGATTATATTGTGCAACAGTGCTGAAATTTAAAGGAGTGTGAAAAATTTCAAACGTGTGCACACTATATTTTTTCTACACTTAATAAGCAAAAGAATTGACTTAGTAACTTGCTTATTATTACTTATAGGAGTATTTAACAAATGTATAATTACATTGAAATCGGCTGCTTCATTACGGAAAAGTTCTAGTAGCTTTGATTTTATAGAGCGTGGGCCATTTCGTTCGATTTTAGATGGGAGAAACAGAAACTTCAGTTGATGATTAAAGAAAACGCTGCATCACAATTTTCAGCAGTGAGTTGAAGCGAAACAACTAATTATTTCGTCTTTTATTTCATCAAATGAATAATTTCAACAATTTTAGTTATATCAAATGCAGTGGCTATGCTAGACTTTAAAATCAAGGTGGGTCAGCTTGGGGCCTAAATTTTGAAAGCTGGGCCATTTACTTTTTTGGAAAAATAGAAACTGAAACATAGTACCTACGTAATTTATTTAAACAATTATAATCTCTCTATAAAAAATAAAATAATAATTAATAAAGCACACTATTTTTTCAATTTAAAACAAAACGTGTGTTCGATGACCAGTAGAAAACAATTCAAGGATTTTATGTAAAGGAATTTAGTTTGATACTTAAAATGGCTACATTTACTAAACAATCATCAAGCATTTTTGATCTAAATAGGTCTTCATTTTTTTAAGCATGAAAAAAGGGTTTTCCTAACGTCATGCGGAAAGTGACTAGTTTACGCACGCTAACCCGTGCAAAAAGTGAATGTAAGTAAATTTCGAAGATTTATTGATTAATGATTACAACTATTTATATTCAATGGAAAAGAACAATTTATATAGTTATTTTTCTCATTGCTTTCGTTTCGATCTTTGTCTTCTGTGGTCTTCATCTCAAACACTTTGCTAACATTTGCTGCCTCCATTCCCCCCAAAAAATTAATGACGTCATCTCAAAATTTTGCCGAAGAAATTCTACCAAAAATGTGCAAAATATGATGAGTTTTTACTTGTAATTTATCATTGCATTAATATATTTTAATTTTAATTAATTTATCTATCTATTATTTTACGTGAGATATTTGAAAATTTTGAAGAAAATCAACTGTCATGTTGAAATTAAAGTATTCCGTGGAAGAAAACTTCGGAAAAGTTTATTCCTCTTTGAGAAATTAGCTCTTGAAGTGGCAGAAAAAAAAGGATTTTAATGAATGAGTTGAAAACAAACTTAACCATGAAAATATTTGCGTGTTTTTTCCTTAAAATTTTTGGTCAATCTTGACGGAACAATTATTTTTGCCAATTTTTGAAATGAAGAGATAATCTGTTGCTCTGTTGCTCTGATAAGACTGATTTTGGCAAATCAGATACCCTCGAAGAAAAGAGAGGGTGGCTGGGTTGGGTTAGTAGGTGCTAAGATAAAACTGATTTTGGCAAATGACATACCCTCTAATAAAAATAGGGCGGGTAGATGGGGCTAGCACCTGTTAAGACTGATTTTGACAAATGACATATTCTCTAAGAAAATAGAGGGGGGGCGGCTGGGGCTAGTCCCTGCTAAAATAAGACGTATCTTCTAAAAAATTTAATGAAATTATTATAAGAAAAGATACTAGAGGCTCCAAAGCACTTTCAAATTCTTTCCAAACAGGAATACCTGTTGTGTTTGTCCTGTCTCCTGTAATTGGGCCTCCGGCCCATTGGAGACATAATGGAATAAATAAATAAATAAATAAATAAATACCTAGACCTCAAGATTGTCTTAAATTAAGAAAAAAAAAACGAGATTCCAAAATTAACTCAAAAAGAGGTTAGATCAGAATTTTCCAAAAATAGAACACCAAAGTCCTCCAAAATTGTTTTAAATAATTTACAATAAAATCTCCGTGGGTTCCCAAAATAATACACCATGGGTACCTAAGAGTCTCCCGAATAAAAAAAAACACTGCGACATTCAAGACTCTTTCAAAATTCATAAAAAATAAAACACTAATAGATCAAAAGATTTTTACAAGTTCATCCACATTATGTGTATCGAGAATGTCGCAGAAGTATTCCAGATACGATTCGAGTTTTGAGGCAACGGTTTTCCGGAAGATTATCTGACAAAATTCAGAAGTTAAACATGTGTTTAATTTATTTGAAGATACCTGTATCAATAAAGTGTCACTCTTTAGTCTTGTGGTAGGTTGTGGAAGACAATTTTGCCATAGTTAGTATTAGGCCTGGCTATTTTGATTTCTGTTCGATGATCTTCAATCAAATTAAATTTAATTGTGGTGCGTATTCCTATAAGGTCAGACAGTGTATTATCAACTGGTGTAACTCTTATATTATAAGCGGACATATTACTAAAAACATTATTATTATCTATAACTGCATTCCCTCAAGTTGGAAAATCAGTGAGTGAGATCAAACCATAATATTTGAACGAATCGTTCGTAGCGTTAGAATTTGAATTGCGTGTTTCAAAATGCACATAGAAATCTCCCCCAATTATTACATTATTTGAACTACTACGAGTACATAGAAAAAATTTTCGAGTCACCTAGAGGTGAATGATAAACTGTTACAATTATTAGGTTATAATTTGTTACGACAAATCCAGTTATCTCACAATGAATTTCTATTGAAAACTCTGCAATCCAAGGCATCAACTGGACTGGGAATTTTTTGGCAATTAGCCATGAGTTTTGTTAGATCATAAATGGGTGACCTAACGGAAGTTTGTGTGTTCTCGAAGGGCCAGCGGTCACAAATGGGTGACCACAAATGTTAGTCACAATGGATGACCAAAAATAAGGGGTCACAATGGATGACCAAATGATGAAACTAAAAATATAGCTTCAGTGAGACACGAACCTTTCTGCTTGACGGTTTATTCGATTCTACTAAAAATATTTACATGTTATTTACAAGTGGAGGTGGTGGGTGAGAGGGTGGAGTCTGCTGCACCCCTTCTCCTTCGGTTTACCTGACTGGACCGAACAAGTTTTGAAAGGACGGGCAAAAAACGTCGCAGTATTGTAGTCAATCACTTCTATATAGTCACATTCAAAAGTAGTTAGCTAATGTTTACTGAGGCACAAAGAATTTATTTCTAAATCAGATAATAATGCATGTAGCATGTTAAATTTATTTCTGGCATACTGAATGTTCAGAAACAAAATTCGAAAACTAGCCATATTTAAGCCACGATTCCCAGTCCACTCACTATGCATTGCTGAAGTCGAAGATGCAGATCTATGTATAGTTTTTATTGTAAGCGGATGAACTAGGGCAGATGCAACTACTTGTCTAAGTGCGTCACATGTTTCGATGAAAAAATTGTGATACGTAAGTACCTTGTGGCCAACGGTTGAGATCCATCGCCTTTTCTTTGTTGACTAAGTCAATGATGACTTTATACGACGAGTAGTAATCAGGATATTTAAACTGTAGGGCTTCGCATTGTACTTCCGGAAAGTCACTTTTCAAAGACTTTCTTATCTCTTTTTGGGTGGTCTGGGGTAGAAGTCTAGATAAAGTAACCTCATTTGACATACACCTGTTAAAACTTTTATGGCTTAAGCCGAACCACCCATATAAGTCAAACTGGCTATTGTATTACTTAACTCAGTTCACGGCTACATTATGCCAACAATGGACAGTAATAATCTTGCGGTTCGGGTCCACAAAGCTTACAATAGCCAGTTTGACTTATAAAGGTGCTTTGGCTTAAGCCGCTTAACTCATAAAAGTTTTAACAGGTGTATGTCAAATGAAGTTACAGTACATATAAGAAAGCCTTTTTTGACACTTCTTTTAGACCGTTAACTTGCTCATTCTGATTCATCTCAATTTTGTAGTTTTTTAAAATTGTTCACATTTGACTTAGTCTTTTTTTGGAAACAACCATTTTAAAATTTTGCGAATCATCCAATAGTGGTTGTTCTACATTCACATTCTTTTGGTGAGTTGTAGTTTCACCCGCGGATTCTTCATTTAATGATGCTGTTGATTCAGTGAAGTGTGCGTTTCAGGAAACATGTAGTTGAGAAAAACGTTGGTATTACTTTAATGATTATTCTGTGTGTTTAAAATTTCACACGACTCGTTTATCCAAGGAAAATCCTTCTTCTGTTTTTGTTTTTTTGACTAGGTGTGACATGAGTCTTTCACCTTGTAGTTGGTGAATTAAAGCTGTTTGAGCGACGATTATCGACTTACATGACAACCATTTAGGGAGAAATTGCAAGTTGTGTTCCCTAATGGCGTACGGATTTTCATCTGCCCAAATGTGGGTGTGGATCCGTCCTCATCAGTTGATGGTATAAGAGATACAAAATTTGCTTTTTCGTTTATTTTTGTATTAACCCACTCACAAAAGCTTTGGCTCCGTGGTAAATTTGTTGTTTTCAATAAATGGACTTTCTGGTAGTGAAAGGAGTACAAGTTGTTCTCCGAGTATTCTTTAAGCATTACTCCCCGATACTCCGTACATCATAGCCTTCGCGGGCTAGTGCTCGGTCGAGCTTCGACACTCTCAAACAGCCTCTTCAAAATCAGCAATTCTATTATAGTTTTGGAAATTTTATTCTACCCTGTAAAATTTTATTGGCATTAACGAGACGTACAGTAGTACAATATCAAGAGATATTTACAACTTAAAGTTGTCGCCTGCCGGTAATCCCCAGATATTACAAAGCAGAATAATTCAGGTCGGGACCATCGTTACTCACGAACGAAAATGATCATTATTTTATGAGTACAACTACCTGCTAAATGTTCTCCTACAAATACGGGTGAACTGGTGTGAGCCATAAATATTTCTTACTATTGTTCTACTGTCCGTCTCGTTATTGTCAATGAAATTGTATAGGGTAGAATGAAATTTCCAAAACTATACTACGTAACCAACCTACTCCGACCATGAGCTGCAGGTTTAAAAGATCTGTACTGTCGAAGATGCTATAGAACGGTTTGACAACAAAGTCATTTCAACACATTTCGTCTACAAATTAGAAATCTGTGTCAAACAAATTTTAAAGAAACGATGTTTAATAACATACACTTGACATAGAAATGATTATTAGTGTCAAAACGGTTGCTAGGATACCTTGTTTATTGTTGTAATGTTGTTATTATTTGAGGTGAGTACAGACGGCCCGCGAATATGTATATGGGTTGGAAAATTGTAAATTCGACTTGAGTTTTCGAAAAAATTGTATATAAAAAGTTATTTTTTTCATGAGTTCCGTTACTGGTTAAAATTAATCTACTTATTCCTGAGACATCCTGTCTAATTTTTCCGTTGCTTTTCTTAAAGCAGTGCATTTACGTATGTGCGCGGACTATTATTCTCCATTTGCAAATTCAATATCATTACTTTTAGCTAATAAATAAAAAAATATTCGAAATATTTCTTTTAGCTGACCCACCACTGTACAATTTTGACTTTTTTTAAAAAATCTGGTTGTCTAGGTTGAAAACAACACGGATTCATACACCACAAGTACAGGAGGATCTTATATTAAAAAATTAAAAAAACAATTTAAGATTGTGAATTTTGAAGATGACGTAATCCCATCTGCATGATATTCCTAATATGCATCAAAATTTGACAACAATCGGTCCAGTAGTTTTGGAGATTATCTATCTAATAAAAATCGACACAGGCGGCAGACAGACAGACAGACGAAAACGGGAGACCACTTTTTTCGTCGAGAAAGCACAAAAATGGACATTGGTCCTATTGATCCAATTACTATATTTCCTTGCAGCTTAGGGTCGGGAAATAAAAATCTTTCCATAATGCAGTCAACCATTCCCATGGACGAACGAATATACAGCTGGTTTCAAAAAAAAAACGGGACAAATGACAGTGACATGAACGTCATATTCCCATTGCTTTTCATTGATTTATGAGAACCTGATTTGCTTATCTTATCCCGTTTTTTGTGAAACCAGCTGATGTAGTTATAATCTTCCTCCATGACTACTGTTATTTCCACGCGTTCATGGTACATTTAATTTCTGTATTTTAATGAATAGAATTTTAAACATTTGTATCTGTCATGGTTTTATTTAAATTTGCTTTACTCTTTTGAAGTGATAAAGTTTACGTTTGAATTTTGACTGTTAACACAATTTTGTAACAAAGATAACTTACGAAATCGTTGTCATATTTACTCTGCCCTAGCACAGAGTCTGTATGGGTCATGGACTAATTTATGAGACAGCATTCGTATATTTTAGTAAACTAGTAATACACGATTTTATTGTCTTGTGAAGTTTTGATTTTTGTACATATTTTATGTTAGATTTTTATTTCTTACCTCCAGATAGTATTTATCTGCCAAATCTAAGTTTCCTATTTCTGTTGCTTCTTGTGCAAAGAATAGTACGGAATTAAATGATGTTTTGGGAAGTTTTACAGTATTACGACCTATAACAGTCATTTTATGCAAAGTTTCATTAGTTTCAGTTATTAGTCTTCTGAAAATATCTTCTACGAAATTTTGGTGCTGTTGCTGATTCATACTTTCCTCCAGTAGGTTTAGCTTAAACGATGCTATGAAGCTACTAATTTGCATTAAAGTAAGTAAGTAGTTCTGATATATTCCGCATCTTTTCATATATGTTATGAAGTCAGCCTGTTTTTCACCTTAATAATTGTCAAATGCTTTTTTTGAATGTGATTGAAATTTTACGCTAACTTACAGAAGCATAAGCTTTTTTGTTCCGTATATACTGTGTAATATCTGTTAAGTTCTTTAATAATTTCTTGAAGAATATTTCGACAAAGCTTGATCGCCGCCTGGTTATCAAAGACTACTTTTGGTATTGGTGGTTTTATTTGTACCACTTCTCTTAAACTAAAAGAAAAACAATGATTTATTTTAATTATTAAGAAAACAGTTATAAATTATAAACCTGTTGTGTAGGTCATCAATTTTTCTTCGTTCTATTAAAGATTCCGTTAATTCGATTTCTAAAACGATGAATGTAGGATTTCCGTGTTCATCATATAACTTGATACTAGGTTCAGGTGGAGGCTCAGGAGTCGGTGTTGGTGGTAGTTTCTACAAATTAATCTATATTAACTTAAGATATGTATAAAACTTGTTATTACGGATTTTAAGTTTAAATCTTCATCATCTATTTTCTCTGTTTTTTTCTTTTTACTCTCCTTCGCCTTTTTGCTTTTTTTCGTATCCTTACTTCCTTTTGATTTTTTACTTTCTTTTGATTTTGATCTTTCTTTCTTGTCTTTTTTCCCCACAATTACTTTGCTAGTACTTTTGTCAAAAACTTTTACAGCAGGAGGAAAAAAGTATGAGTTTTCTAATCCACCATAAAGATGTGCTTCCTGCTCGTGAAATGTTGTAATAGGAATGGCAATTTTAGTTTTTGTAACTAAAAAGAATGAATGTTAACAATTTAACAACTGTAAAATTTTAAGAGAGAGGCTCAAAATTACTCTAGTAAAAGTTGCTTTTGATACCGAAAATCTAGTCTGATACATTTTTTGAAAAAGATAAATACTTTTAGTCAACAACATAAGACTCAGCGCAGATCTAATTTCACCTAAAATTATTAATTTAACTGCTATATGTAGAGTTTAAACACTGGGACTATTTTTGAAATATATCTGCATTTTTCGCTCTACCGGGTCTTTAAACGAAATTCAACAATTACAATACAAGAGACAATAATTGGCGTGAACGAAAAATTTCAACCTTTTTTAATACGTAACATGTTTAACAAAATTAAAATAATGTTGGCAGTAGTCAGATTTAATACATTCAGTTCAAAATATGTACTTTAACTGTTCAGTTAGTTCAAAGTACAGTCGTGGCTCTTCGAAGGTGCTACACTTTGTCATGTGTAAAATTGTGTCTTTGTGAATTGTACTCCGAAATTGAAGTTTCTAAAATGTCACTTTAAATGTCACTGAAAACGTGAAAACAATGTCGTGGGTTAGAAAATTTTACTTGCTGTCCTCAATCGTTTTAGGTAATAAGCATTCACGTTCGGTAGAAGTAGCTGACAGAAATTTTTCTGTGGTTAAGTTGCAATCTTTAGATCACTAGAAACTAAAGATTGGTATCAACTGTCTAATTTTCTAATTCAAATGTCAAATCTGACTTGTGTGGAAAAAAACAAAGTTTTTCTAATTTTAACACGCTTCGTTTCAAGAAAATCCTTAAATACAGCATGGAAACAATTTTCACAAAAGTAGTCACAAGAAAGCCCATTTTAAAGGAAAAGAGACAAGAAATATTTCGTGGTTATCAAAAAATTGCAGAGAAAAGGGACAACGCTTGGGTAAAACGGAAACAGTTAAACTGGTGGCAGAAATATTTTCCGTAAAGTTCGCTGGTGTTGTCGAGTGCTTTTCGAATTTTAAAATAATACCAATACAATGGCGCCGGTGCCGTTAATTTTATAATCAGAATCAGAAAGACGACTGCGCAGATTTATATACATACACCCACATACTTTGTTGGTTCCGCTCTACAATTGGTTTTTAAGTTTTATATTATAATCGTTATTGTTTTGTAAGAGGGAAAACACTCGGCTTTGAGAATAATTGTACGTAATACACGTATAAATTTAGGTTTCCGAAGGCAAAGTTTTTCACATTTTAAACACGTTATAGCTACCACGCTACCAGAATCAAATTACTAGGGGGGTATCTCCAATTGCGTGATAGTGGTGAAGATTTACTTTTCATTTTCTTGAATAAGACATGGATATACCAAAACGGATCTATGGTAAAATTGTGGATCCATGATGATGACATCAAATCTTGCCCTCCTAAAAAAACTAGTGAAGGGAAAAGATTCACAATTTTACATGCGGGTTCCTCTTTGGGCTTTGAGAGGGATGTGATTTTCTCCTTGGTTCAAAAATAGATTCAGCAGATTACCACAAAACCATCACATTTTCGATGTTTGACATTTACTTACTTACATGTCACATTTTTGATACCTACTTTCTGACGTTCCCGTTATACATTATACACTAGAACAATTATGTCCGCAGTTACACAGCTTAAAAAAAAAAGTTACCAAATCTAGTTACATCTACCGAACGTGAATTCCTTATAGTTTGTTTTGTTTGTGTTCATTTTTGTTCGCACGAGTAGCGCACACTTCAATGGTAAATGTCACTCACGACTTTCGTCACTACTCTCAAGAGTACGATTGGACTGAAATTTAGTGACATATATGGTAACATTTAGAGAGCAGAGTGAAATTTCTCGTGAATAACCCTGTATATAATTTTAGGTATCCAAGAAGGACAGAGATTAGGAATTTGTGGGTTAAATTTGTGCAAACCACTTTAAAAACAAATCAGTCTAATAAGACGACAGACGGCAGACAAACAGACGATAGACAGACGGAAACGTGAGATCGACTCTTTCGTATTCTTTCGTATTCATGAAAGTAGACATCGCTGCACGGTCCTTATTACAATACTTCATTAGATTAGGCCCGGGAAGTAAAAAGGAAGATACAGTTGTTCGCTACCCGAATCTTGTGGAGCACCATTTCGTGAATGTTCAACAGCTTCTCCTTCAAGTCATCGACATAATCTATGACCTCCTTTGGTCCTTCATTTGGAGAGCCGAATAGTATGTCACAAGGTAGACGAAGTTGTCTCCCGAAAACCATGCGCGCCGGTGTCTGATCCGTTGTGTCATGGACAGCTGATCGATAAGACATCAGGAACAGTGGAAGGTATCTATCCCAATCTTACTAGTGTTTAGCTACCACTTTCGAAAGATGTTCTTTCATGTTGTGATTGAACCGTTCTACCATTCCATCCCATTGTGGATGCAACGGCGTAGTCCGTGTCTTCTGTATTCCTAGTACTTCAATAATGCAATGGGTTTGATTAGAAGTTTCTGCCTTGCTCCGAATGCATTTCCATTGGTACCACAATCCTGCTAACCCAATTGTCAATCAGCAGTTTTGCAACCGTAGTGGCTTCTTGGTTCGCTATGGCGTAACCTTCGGGGTATTTGCTGTCATAATCCCTGACGACCATTATGTACTTATTCTCGTCCTCGGTCATCAGGAAAGGACCTGCTATGTCCACTGCAATTCTTTCGAAAGGCGAACCCATATTGTATTGTTAAAATCCTCTCCCTAAAGCCGGAATTCCACTGAAGCAACACTGAACGACATGTTGCTTGATACTTGTTGCCTAGTGTTGCCTGTTGTAGGCGTGCGACAATGTGGCACAAAATTTCAATTAATGTCGCTGTGTGTTCCTTCAATGAAAATATTGTGTGTAGCATGCGTCAATGCCGCATGCTACATGTTGCCTCAGTGGAATTCCGCCTTAACTTTAGCGTCTTGTTAATTCCATAATGGGTATCAGCGCTGCCGTTGTGCATTTCTCGAAGTATTTCCTTGATTCTGATGGCCGGAACCACCAACTCCATGGTGGTATGTTTCCCAAACTTGCTTAAGCAATCCGTTCTCGATACGTAGGGAGTCCCACTGAGTCCATAAAACTTTGAAAGAGATTGACTCCTCTGATATTTCCGACCAACCTCGCCGTTCTACCTCTTCTTTCCATTTGAGGTGTGGTTCGATATTCACGTCTCTTTTTTGGTCTTTTCTAAGCTAAGACGTTGTCCACACTTCATTTTCTGCGACTGTTGTCCTTTCACAGCTGAACGACGCTTTGCTCTGATCAATCTTGTCGCAGTGTTTGCAGTTCTTACACGGTCTCCATGACAAAGAGTCTGCATTATTGTGAAGTTTGCCAGTCTTAAGACATCGTTTAGTTTCCTGTAGTCTACGCACAATCTCGTCGACCCATTTTTTGGTGACTAGCACTACAGGCGAAGACCATGTACTGTTTGATTCCTCTATAACGCCTTCACCCAGTGTTTATCCGATGTCGCACTATGTTTGTGCGCCCAGAGGATTGTCCAGATGCAAACATTCCGCCGTGCAGCCATTTCCAAGTTGGTTTTTATTTCATCATCATTGTTATCAAAAGATCTTGGTTGTGATGATTGATGAAACATCTTCGTGATCGGTTCACAGACGGCAAGAACTTCCCTACTATTGATGTGCATGGATTTGGGAAAAATATTTGCGACGCGTACAGGTATGTCAGAATCGGTATTAAGTAAAGCACTCGCAATTATGAGAGAGATTCTTCTTGGAGGTGTATGATGGTTGAATAATGCCGAACGCAAATCCGGGTTTGACTTCTACTCTGATTCTAGAAAATCCATAGGCGTCGTACCAGACCGGCGTATGGGTTTATTTCGTGACAGTATGTTATGAAAAAAGTTAAAAGGTATTATTAACATTTGTTACGAAAACTTTACGACTCAGTGTAGTCTGACGATGTTTTAAATTTAATATAGGTGTTTCAGATCGGTATTGAATACACTTTTTAATTATATAGTCTTACCTCCGGGATACAACAGCGATGAAAGTTCAAGTACAGCCATCAAATGTAAATAAGGAGAAAGTTTTTCATTGCCCGTCGTTTCGACACTTGTTACTTCTTTTACTTTACTCTTACTTTTAGATTTTTTTGAACTTTCTGGAACAGTTTCCTAGAATTTTAAATATTATACGAATGTATTGACAAATTTTGTTCATTATTTACGTCTGTTTTCTTAAATGCATGAATTTCAAGAACAACTCTGCGAAATTTTCTAATGTGATCAAAAAATGCTAGAAAACCATCTTTTAATAAAACATTTCTTTTGATTAAGTTAAACTCAATTCTAGGTTGGTTTCTCTCAAATGTATTTTGTAATTCAACTTTGTCTACGTAATTTTTTATCGTATTAGGATCATAGTCGGCACTAACGAAAAAAAAATAATAGTAAAGTATACATTTTCGATCGTCCTTACCGGTAAAGAGTTACGTTCGCATAATCCTTGGAAATATTTGGCCACTGTTTATGGTTTATTCGTTCGGGAAATGTGCTGTAGTTACCATCTTTGATTAAAATATATTGATGGGTCTGCAAATAACAGTTGGACACTATTCTAAATTGATGTAGCAAAATTTGTTACCAAAGAAATAAAAATCTAATTTAGTTTTTTTATCGTTTCAAGCAAGATTATGAACAGGTAAAAACTTGTATGTACATTAACTAGTTAACATTACTTACTAATGTTTAAAATTGACAAGATAATTAAAATTAGCTAAAAAAGATCTGCAACTAGGCAAATCCTTATATTCTGTGAATATTTTGAGTCTGTAACGTTAGAAAAAAATACCTGGTCCACAGATGGCAAAGTAAGGCATAAATGGTACTCCATTTCTTCATTCATAATGGACGGAATATTGTAAATGGAGTCGAACGTGATATTTAACAGTTTAGGTTTGCAAGTGAAAGTCAATGGTTTTTCTATCGATACAGTGACAACTATTCCTGGTGGGTATGAATACCGTATCATGCGATCATCACAAAACGGCTCCGGTACTATTAGTTGTAAAAACTCAGTAAACGACGACTTTTCTGAAAGAACAGAAATTACAAATAATCTATCTATTCTACACTTGTTACCAAAAATGAATGGCATCAAATCTAAAATACAGACTCCAGTCTCTTTTTCTGTGGCGTCAAAGACAGCTTTGGAGGTAGTTTTTCCTATAGATTCTTTACTAACTCCTTTTTTATGAGATGTTTTGGAACCTTTTTTGCTAGATTTTTGAGATGTTTTACTGTCGTTATTGGATTTTTTTGCATGCTTGTTTCCACTACTCTTAGTAGTGCTGCTATTTTTATTTCCTTTCTTTTCTTTTTTACCATTTTTTTTTCCTTTAGCTTTGAGCTTTTTCTCGCGACTTGGGGATGCAAGAAAATCTACTTTTTCAACAGTGTCTCCAGTAAGAGCTTCGTATAAACTTATAGCACTCTCCACCGATGATAAAGATTGATCTAAAATCAATTTATCTTCTTCGCTTTTACTAGTGTCCTCGACAAATATTTCTGAATCTAAGTTAGGAAATTGGAATATTTTGACTGTAAATCATTTTTATGAAACAGCGTTGATTACTTTTAGATAGTTACCTATTAATGGATTTGTAATTAACTTGTCTAACTCACTAAGAGATTCGGTGTTGTATTTTAACTTGAATTCATGATCAGCCAAGAGTATGGGGTCATCTGTTAAGAGGATTTTTGGGGATTCTCCTAGATCAATTCCTCCAAACTGAATTTTTGAAAATATGTAAGATGATCGATAAGCGGGAACCTTTAACGAGGTTTTACCAGAATTTGCAATAAGATTAAAACGGTGTTTAAAATCTTACCATATTTTGATAACTTTCTATAGTAACTGTTATTTCATTGAAATTTGTTGTATCTATTTCAGGAAGTTGTGTTGTAGATGGAAGTTTTTGTTCCTGTTTTTCTTCTGATTTTTTAGAAGAATGTTCACCCTGTTCCGTTATAAAAGGTATTAAAAAAAATACTTTGTAAACTAACGTACCTTTTTTGAAATTTTGGTTGATCCTTTAACCATTTTAACTGACGTATGACAATTAATTTTTGATTGAATTAAATATGGCAAATATTTGCTATGGTAATACTAATTTGTGTTATTTAAATAAAACAAATAAAGTGAGTAATTTGATTAAACGCATTCTGGAAGTCTGATGGAGTGATATCAAAGGCTTTATAGTACTATAGGTAAGGGATGGATAGGTAACATGATAAAAGAAAAACGCAGCACTCTTTGAAAACAAAACAAATAGTCGTTCATTTTGTAGCATGAAGTAGTCCCCGCATTTAGAAACGTCCTTAAAAATTTTTACGTCATCTGCATATAAGAGAATATTGGACCTGATCGCCTTAACTAGATCATTTATGTAGATATCAAAGTAAAGGGGCCCCAAAATTGAACCCTGAGACACTCCAGACTGAACGAGAATTTTTTTAGACTTTCTATAAGTCTCTAGATCCACTTGCACAATAATTTGTAAATCATTTTTATTTTTCAGCGGTGTTTATTTGACCAGTTTGCATGCTGAGGAGCTGGTAAAAATATGCTTATTCCGCATAGTTAGAAAGGCAACAATATTAATGGCATTTTATGGCTATGTTTATGAAAACAGACCACAACAAAAAGAAACCCAGATAGCGATAATGCAGTCAATGGCGAAAAAGAACGAAACAAAAATCGCATTAAGTTGCTAATAAAACCACAAAATTAGCAAAATAAATGCGGCGCCAAGCCGCCGAAAGGCAAGATTTCCGTCTCACACCGCATCATAAGTTTTGATAAATTTACAATTTATCGCTTAAACCTCAGCCATATTACCGAATAAATGATTATTTTCTACCAACTATAAGGACATTGGAACAGTTTACTTCATTTTTGGTGCATGATCTGGAGTGGTAGGGACCTCTCTAAGACTTCTAATCCGAGCAGAATTAGGAAACTCAGGGTCTTTAAACTGAATAACCAAAAATAACTTTATCCTCCTAACTATCCTAATCAATCATTACTACCCTAATTATGCTATTCATTTACATCCGAAATATGTACTATAACGCTATGGAACGCGAAACGGATATTGACTGCTCTTTCTGGAAATAATGGAGTGTCGACGCTTGATAGAATTGGAGATAAAAATATTTGGAAAAAATCGAAGAGTATAGAAGTGAAAACACAAAGAGCGTTTATTTAGATGAAATGTACTTTGATCGCCATTATGCTTCTTACACATCATGGAAAAAAGATTTGGCTCATGACTCTAAACTTAGGCTTTGTAAAATTGACGCACCACCATCAAGAGGGAAAATGACTGAGTTGATCGCGTTTTACTTTTATCGGCACATAATATCAAAGACTATTATTAAACTTGGATTATCATGAAAATATGTCATCAGGTATATTTCAGTCATGGTTACCTTGTAATAACGTAATAGTTTTCAATAACGCATTCCGTCTAAATAAAAAAAAAAAATAACGCTAACTATTCACCCTGAAATTATAGATTTTTATATGAGAATGATTTATATTTCGAAGAAAATTATACCAAAAAAGAATTACTGTAAGTTCTTAAGACCAAAAATTTAAAAAAATCGTATTTCATCGACAGGGGAGCAAAAATTACGGTTCTGGTGTTCTTCGTTTATCACCGCATTACTGCATTACTCAACCCGATAGAAATGGTGTGGTCACAAATTAAATCTAGAATTCGAAATAATAATAATCGTTCTCTAAAATTCATGTAACTATTGAATTAACTCGAAAAGAATTCGCGGGAATCTCGGCAGAGTTATGGAAAAATTATGTGTCCCATATAAAAGACCTTAAAAAATATCGAACAAGGAGCTACCGAGTGTTAATAATTCATTCACGGATAAACCAATTTAAATGCGGCTTTTCATTTGAAAGCTGGTTCTATCGGAATGGTTCTTAGCTACGTTTGATGTTAATCACTTAAGCTACTTTTAACTTTGAAACATTTATCTGTCTGTGGATTTGTTCATGGCACTATAGCTCCCATCCATTTTCTCGAAAATTTGGGAATACAGTAATGTTATTACTTATTAGTATTATAGTGTACCTATCGAAATTGATATGCGTGTCCTTGCAAAAATGTTGATGCCGTTATCACAAAGTTTTGTAGATTAGAAACTCATTTGAAACATACGAGTATCATTTACTTTAACATTACATTAAAATGAACATATGTATGTTCATTTTAATTTATAGTATAGGGGTTCTCAAAACAGAAAAATCTGGATATGTTTCACTGTACTTCAGGGGCGAGGGAAGTTCTGTCAAAATTACCTTCGACCAGTTTTTTTCATTGTGAATCAAGGTGGTTATCATGTAGCAAATTTCTACAATATGTTTACAAATTAAGAAATGGAACTACAAATTATTGGTCTCACAATTGAAGAACAAGAACTTCACATACAGAGGCGAAAAGAAGAATCAATCTAGCAATAAACCATCCTTTTCAGTTTTGGCTGGACTAGATATGTATTTTTCCACGCTGAAGGAAAGAGCTCTCTGTATACAATTTCTCACGTTTCATTTTTGTGAAACGGGTTTTCTGCGTTTGCTGTTTTGAAGACAGGATACAGGAAACAATGTAGATTGATAAATCACGAGTGTTAATTCCTTATGAAAAATTTTGCTCTGTAAGGTAAGTTAATGGGTAAGTTCAAGGAAGCTATTAATTTGGTATTGTAAATTGATGAAACATTTTACCTTACCACTTCTTATTTAAACTGTTTCAGGTACCATGTTATTTTTCAGTTATTAGAATATATCTTATTTTGCTTTTGGTTTTGGTTTCAATAAATAACTTTTATAATTTTTAGGTACATTGAAACATTGTATCTATGAGTAGAAGCCGTCATGGAGTTTTTCCTTGCGGTGACCGACTTCCTACATACTTATTACTTAAAACTCTTCAGTCACGTTGATTTTAAATTTTTTTAGATGTCAATAAAAAAAAGCTTACCTACTCCGACTATTAAGTTTTACAATAAGACGAATTTACCGTTTGTGACTGGAACATCATTCTGCATCCAAAGAAATAGCTGTGATTTTGGCGTTTAGTGCCGTTTCTTTTAGAGATTTTGCTTTCTCACGATAAAAATATGCTAGTACATATTACTTGATATTTTATAAGTCCTAACTAAACAAAAATTAACACAATACATAAAAATTGGTCTAAAGAGTTTAGACAGTACTTCCCTCGCTGTCGGAAACTTGACGACTGCATGCCTATTGTGTTTTTTTTTTCTCATTACATTTTTGTAGTGGGAATTTAAAAAAAAAATGTGATGACGTCATCAACATTTTTGCAAGGACACGTACATCAGTTGGGATAGATGTAGTGTAATACTAAGAATAAAATTATTGTATTCCCAAATTTTCGGGAAAATGAATTGGGTCGTTTTCAATATTGATTTCTTATATTCAATAAAATAACGAAACAATTTACTCACGTATACGGCGCCGGTGTGTAATCTAATATGAAAAGCAACTGAAAATCGTTTACGTATAAACATTCTTAATTTAAGATGACAAGCGTAACAGCATACGTGAGAGTCAAACAGAGAAACTGTAAACAAAACGACCATCGGTTTTATTGCTTCGACTTCCGCTTATTATATAAAACATTGGGTTTTATTTTAATTCTTGACGGTGAAATTCACAATTGGTTGATTAAACATGTCTATTTCACATTCGCGGAACCAAGTGAGCGCATAAAACAAATGCAGGTCTGTAATGTTAAAGTCGATGTAAATAAGCGTGCTACCCTTATGTTTCAACCGAGTTTTTCCTTTAACAAATTTTGTGTCTACCAAATTGGGTTGGTTGGGGTGTAATACTAATAATAAGTGTTGCCTTTAATTTAATCAATAAAATAAATTGACTTCATTAATTTTTTTGAACCACCTCTTAAGAAAATCTAAAAAAATATGAATGGAATGATAAATCACAAGTGCAAACTCATCATATTTTTTGCATTTTAGATAGGATTTATTCAGCAAAATTTAAGGGTGACGTCATCAATTTTTTTAGGAGGGATGAACAAATACATTTTGAACAAAAGTTTACCATGCTTATAATAACTTTAAAATATTCCCAAGATTTCAAAGCATTCGGTTTTGTAATTCCTGATTAAATCGATAAAATAAATTCACGCCTTCATTAATTTTTTTGAGTCACCCTGCATATGCAAATCCAAAAATATGAATGGAATGATAAATCACAAGTACAGACTCATCATATTTTGTACATTTTAGATACGATTTATTCGGCAAACTTTTGAGCTGACGTCATCAGTTTTTTGTAGAAGATAACCAAAAATATTTTGACTAAAAATTTATTATGCTCTTTATAACCTTAAAACATCTGCAAGATTTCAAAGCATTCGGTTTTGTAGTTCCTGATTAAATCAATAAAATAAATTTACGCATTCATTAATTTTTTTGAGTCACCCTGTATATGCAAATCGAAAAAATTTGAATGGAATGATAAATCACAAGAAGAGACTCACCATATTTTGTACATTTTAGATAGGATTTATTCAGAAAAATTTTGTGGTGACGTCATAAATTTTTTAGGGGGGACGACCAAATACATTTTGATCAAAAATTTACCATGCTTATGATAATTTTAAAATATCTTCAAGATTTCGAAGCATTCGGTTTTGTAGTTCCTGAGTAAATCAGTAAATTAAATTTACGCTTTCATTTATTTTCTTGAATCACCCTGTATATGCAAATCCAAAAAATATGAATGGAGTGATAGATCACAAGTACAGACTGATCATACATTTTAGATATGATTTATTCGGCAAATTTTCGAGCTGACGTCATCAAGTTTTTGGAGGGGATAAGCAAATATATTTTGACTAAACATTTATTATGCTCTTTACAACCTTAAAACATCTGCAAGATGTCAGAGCATTCCGTTTTGTAGTTCCTGATTAAATCAATAAAATATATTTACGCATTCATTAATTTTTTTGAGTCACTCTGTATATGCAAATCCAAAAAATATGAATGGAGTAATAAATGACAAGTACAGACTCATCATATTTTGTACATTTTAGATATGATTTATTCGGCAAACTTTCGAGCTGACGTCATCAAGTTTTTGGAGGGGATAAGCAAATATATTTTGACTAAACATTTATTATGCTCTTTATGACCTTAAAACATCTGCAAGATTTCAGAGCATTCGGTTTTGTAGTTCCTGATTAAATCAATAAAGTATATTTACGCATTCATTAATTTTTTTGAGTCACCCTGTATATGCAAATCCAAAAAATATGAATGGAGTGATAGATCACAAGTACAGACTCATCATATTTTGTACATTTTAGATATGATTTATTCCACAAACTTTTGAGCTGACGTCATCAAGTTTTTGGAGGGGATAAGCAAATATTTTTTGACTAAAGATTTATGATGCTCTTTATAGCCTTAAAACATCTGCAACATTTCAAAGCATTCTCGTTAGCAGATTAAAAATTAAATTTCAAAATGTTGTTTTATAATTTTGATTTTTTTTCCAAAAATCTGGACGTTTCGGGTGAAAAGTCGATTCAGAGTTGTAAACTACATGTGTAGGACTATGTTATTTTATACAACTGAAAACCCATTTACTATGTACAATTTTGAAGTGACGTCATCGCATTAGTGGTGGGGATGATTAGACAAATTTTGGTTAGCGTTTTACCATCTACATGATATTCTTAATATAAGTACAAAATTTCACAACAATCGGTCGAGTACTTTCGGAGATTATCTGTCTAATAAAAATCCGGGACGGCAGACGGACAGACGGACAGACGGACAGACGGACAGACGGACGGACAGACGGACGGACAGACGGACAGACAGACGGAAATGGGAGACCTATTTCTTCGTCTTCTAGGGGTCATGAAAGATCGAGAAAACGTAAAAGTAGAGAGTCGGCCGACGGACTCGATTACAATACTTCCTTTGCTTACGCTCGGGAAGTAAAAATACTAGAAATGGCAAAATCATTTTGTAAAAACAATATTCAATCAAAGAAACAACCTCAAAATTTTAAAATAAACATTATTCATTCATAACTGTGCACACTGAAGATTCTACATTTTAATTTTATCTAAAACGTAACGCTTGATTATTAGAATGAGTAAACAAGTAGAAGAAGCTATACCCACACTATTAATTTATGCAAAGTGTACCAAAAAATAAATGCATAATAACAATTGGCGAAGAGTTGATTTAATTTACGTTGATTTACAATATTGTAAACAAAAAAACATGTAATGCTATTACATTGGTTTTGGTAGTTAGGAGTGCCGTATGTGTTAAAATGAAAACTAAAAGACACATTAGAACCTGATTTTGAAACTGTGTGTGCCGATATAGAATAAGTATATCGAGTTTTTCTTAATAAAAAAATTATTCTCAGTATTAATCAAAATGTTCCATATTTGGGTAGTTAACCTATATATGGAACATATATATATTTTAAAACTTATTTGGCAAAAGTGGTACCACTATTAACTTTGTATAATGAATTACACTACTTTAAAGTTAGTTTAATTTTAAACTACATCACTGCTACAAGTTGTTAACACTTAACTATTTATAAATACATTTTTACAAACAAAGTTGTTTTATTTATCAATCCATTTTGTGCATATTTTAACACATCTTACAGTAGTTTTCATTATTGTGATTTGTGACTAAGTTAGTTTCTAAATTTTAACAAAAACACTTTAAGAACTATTACTTGGCAATCAGTATGTGCTGTGTTGTGGTATTGTTTCTCAGCTACTAATATATCAAACTAGTTGTTAATTTTAATAGCGGTTTTTTAAAGATGTCATCTTGGTAATACATATTTATTCTGTGTATGCAACTAATACAAAACAACATAAAAATTATCCTCTAGCTCTGTTTTTCGAAATAGTAACATTTATATCAATACAACTTTTACCAGTATCATGGTCAACATCAAGCTTCAAATCGATCGTTCCACTCGCGATACCTAACTGATTCTTAAATCTGCTAATGTTAATCTTCTTGTTAGCGTCGCCACAAACTTTACCCTGAAATAATAATAATAATGGTAAAAGTGGTTTATCTGAAAGTTTTTCCCAAGAGTAAAATTCTGACAAAAGTTGGCTGGTTTGTAGCCAATTTAACTTACTGGGGGTATTGGGCACTTAGAAGGCATGTTATACATTTTAGCCACATTTCCAATTTGCGGATCATTTAACCCACTAACAACTTCACAAAAGTCAAGTTCTCCATCCATAGGAGGCATCGGAGCTTTTTTGAGAACATATTTTCCCTGAAAAAAAAAACGAATATTGTGGACACTACACATAATTGACTTACCTTCGCTGTTTTGAATCCCTTTGGAAAATTCAAACAACCTTTTAAAATTATGTTGCAATCTTTATCTAAAGTTGCACCAGGATTTTCAATTTTTATCACACTGTCATCGATACAGTTTTTAATGCTGTTGAGTTTCAACGTATACCCATTCTAGTGAAAATGTAGGAATTTTAAAACTATCTTCGAAAAGTCGTTATATTGATAATTACTTACACATGCTGTTGAAGTACGTATATAAGTTACCAAAACTAACACCACATAAACACGTCCGTTTCTGTCAGACATTTTTACTATTATGTAAAAAGTTTTGCTGCAGGGTCAACTTTTATATTGTTTGAATAATGGCCGGTTGTTCAAAGCGAATAATGGTAATTACCTTGATCATTAACAAAGCATAGTGTTTTGGATCATTTACCTGCAACCACATCAGATGAATCTTTAAATCACAATGTAATGTGGATTTGGCTAATTATTTATTCAACATTTAACTTTTTTATAAAACATTATCAATTTACCGACTGAGCAAATTGCTAGCGAATATTTGGTTACTGATTATATTTTAATTGGGTTAATATGAATAATAATTGCTGTTAATATTAACAACCAAAGTAAATAAGTAAATCACATTGAAAAAAAAAATAGTCGAATGAAAATATATCTAATTTAGAATGGGCTTGTTTAGGTTTATTGCATCGTAAACTACTAACTTACACCCTAGACATCCATATTTATGAAAAAAAAAAAATATATTAAAATATTTTGCAACTTAATTTTGAAATTGCAAACATTTTAATGTTATGGTAAAACGTTAATCAAACTTTATTCGTTTATGCCCCCCGGCCCCCAAAAATGAATTTGCCGAAAAAATGCTCTTTAAATTTTATATTTCTGCAAGTGTGGTTTATGTATCCGTGTCGAATTTTTGCCACAGACATTTAGATTTTTAGGAAAAAAAATCAAAATTTTATAACAATTGTTTTTAATGATCAAGTCAAAATGATTCACAACATTTTGCTTCATTCTACTTAGCTTAATTAATAATTTTCGTCGCCTGCTTTGTTTTGAGGAGAGAGACAAAATCATTCGAATCAGGCAGCTTACTATTTACGTGCTCAATCGTCGCATTCCTTCGGTGTATAAACATAAGCAATAGAAATTAAGCATGTACTGATACTATATATTTTTACTTCCCGAGCGTAAGCAAAGGAAGTATTGTAATCGAGTCCGTCGGCCGACTCTCTACTTTTACGTTTTCTCGATCATTCATGACCCCTAGAAGACGAAGAAATAGGTCTCCCATTTCCGTCTGTCTGTCCGTCTGTCCGTCTGTCCGTCTATCCGCCTGTCCGTCTGTCTGCCGTCCCGGATTTTTATTAGACAGATAATCTCCGAAAGTACTGGAACGATTGTTGTGAAATTTTGTATTTGTATTAGGAATATCATGTAGATGGTAAAACTCTAACCAAAATTTGTCTAATCATCCCCACCACTAATGCGATGACGTCACTTCAAAACTGTAGATAGTAAATGGGTTTTAAATTGTATAAAATAACATAGTCCTACGCATGTAGTTTACGACTCCGAATTGAGTTTTTACCCGAAACGTCCAGATTTTGGAAAAAAATCAAAATTATAAAACAACATTTTGCAATTTAATTTTGAATCTGCTAACCCGAATGTTTTGAAATGTTGCAGATGTTTTAAGGCTATAAAGAGCATCATAAATCATTAGTCAAAATATATTTGCTTATCCCCTCCAAAAAATTGATGACGTCAGCTCGAAAGTTTGCCGAATAAATCCTATCTAAACTGTACAAAATATATATGATGAGTCTGGACTTGTGATTTATCACTCCATTCATATTTTTTGGATTTGTGTATACAGGGTGACTCAAAAAAATTAATGAATGCGTAATTTATTTTATTGATTTACTCAGGAACTACAAAACCGAATGCTTTGAAATCTTGAAGATGTTTTAAAGTTATCATAAGCATGGTAAGTTTTTGATCAAAATGTATTTGCTCACCCCCTTAAAAAATTTATGACGTCACCACAAAATTTTGCTGAATAAATCCTATCTAAAATGTACAAAATATGATGAGTCTCTTCTTGTGATTTATCATTCCATTCATATTTTTTGGATTTGCATATACAGGGTGACCCAAAAAAATTAAGGAATGCGTAAATGTATTTTATTGATTTAATCAGGAACTACAGACCCGAATGTTTTAAAATCTTGCAGATGTTTTAAGGTTATAAAGAGCATAATAAATTTTTAGTCAGAATATATTTGGTTATCTTCTCCAAAAAACTGATGACGTCAGCTCGAAAGTTTGCCGAATAAATCCTATCTAGAATAAATAAAATATGATGAGTCTGTACTTGTAATTTATCAATATTTTTTGAATTTGCATATACCGGGTGACTCAAAAAAAATAATGAAATCTATTGCGAAAAAAAAACATAATAGACATGCAGTCGTCACGTTTCCGACAGTGAGGGAAGTACTGTCTAAACTCTTTAGGCCAATTTTTTGTTCTGTCATAGGTGAAAATGACAATCAATTGTCTTTAGTGAAGAATTATTTTTCTAGTAAGATCTAGAGCCGCAACATTTAAAATGCAATTCTTTCAAATGAGGTGATCGTAGTGTGTTCTACCTGAAGGTTGTGGAATTGTATAGGAATATTATATTAATCCAATTTCAGAATAACAAATAAATAACTCAGTTTGGATTTAACTGAAGGGCAAATTGGCACTAGATTAAAGAAACACCTTCATTACCCCCATGTGTAAGTAAAATTTAACATGATTTTTAATTGATAATTCGTTGATCTCACCTATTTGCCTATTGCGACAACGGCGAGACGCGACGTTCAGAAATTCGACACATTGCGTCATTTATTGTTTACACTAGCATTGACTGGGCAGTTGTTGATTTTCCCGGATGCGTTCGGACTTAAAATCCACAAAATTGTTACTTAATCTCACCAAATCTTTAGAAATGATACATTTTATTTTCTTATGTGACGACAAAAATAGTATATTATTAGCCAAGGTTGCAAAGCCAAGCATTCTAGACCGAGCGCAAAATACGAGACGCGCAGCGTCGAGGGCTCTGAAGCGCGAGGTCTAGAAGTGGCTTTGCAACCGTGGTTAATATACCATTTTTTTCATTAGTAGAAACCATAAGACAATAAATCGAAAAAATAAGCGTTCAATTTTTTGACGCAACATGATTTTGTTTTGATTTCTAATCAAACTTAATCTAAATCTTCAACACAAAGAAAACCATTTACACTTGTCGCTGAATTAATCATTTTATCTTCTATCGTCTACCAACTACTATGCGTATACTCAAGTAATGTTACTGCCCATTCACAATGGACATAAGACATAAGAACGAGCGCATAACATAATTTACGTTTTTGGTTTGTGTCTGGCTTATGCTTATCTACGTTCACAATGGACAGAGTGAACTCTGTAAGAATTGTTAAACTGCGCAAACGCAGAACGGAATAACTCCCGGCCAAACATAGAAACTGCTAACCTCAAACTGAGTCAATCAAAATATCTAACCTACAATTTCATACGATATTCGAACTTGACAACTCGCAGTACAGAACAGACTCGCAGTGTGAAGCTTTGATTATAATTTATATAATTTAATCAAAGGTGTGAAGTGCCAACTGTCAAAGGGAATTCAATAGCAGCACTCAAAAGTCCCTAGATTTTAACATAATTTTGACGTAATTCGTGCACAAAGTTGAACTTGTTTCAACTTTGTGTACGCACACAAGGATTACATAAAACGTTCATAAGCATAAGAATTACGTTCGTCCACTGTGAACAGGGGTACACGTTTTCCATCGTTTCAACTTTGTGTATTTATGTAAACTTTATGTACTTGTTATGCCTTATGTCCATTGTGAATGGGCAATTAGTAGCACACATTTATTCATTTTTTGAGAAATAATCACATCAAGTATTGCGTACATAACCTCAATCTTCTTTTTGAACCCGTAGTCGCAAAAGTTGAATTTGCTACCTCTAAATGAGTCGACATTTGTATGCTTTATGGCTGCTAGTGAAAAAAAAAAAAAACAGAAATGTTTCGATGCAATATTTTATAATATTGTAAATTGTGAAATGTCTCTCGGGACGATGGTTCTTTCTAAATTATTATTATTTAAATTAAATAGATTCTCATTTGGAATCCTAACATAGTAGTGGGCAATATTCAAGATTTAAATTTTAACGACTGAGTTGGACATAATTAGCGAAATAAATGTCATCGTGGATTCGAAAGGGCAAGTGGTATTTTATGCCGATTTTTTGTTATGTTTTATGTGTTCTATGACTCCAATTTTGGAACATTTAAGTTCGGATGTACCTCTCAAAACGACGTAGGTACCGAACGATATTTTGTGTTTTTGACCATATTTAACACGTGTTTTATGTATTTATGTGTTGGAGAATTCGATGCACGATGTACTCTTGCTTCGTTAATTTTGCTTTATTGAATTCGGTTGCCGAGTTCGACCTAAGTCTAGACTGATAAATTTTTCCTGTCATTCATAATCGCATACCGGATTCCATCAACGAGCGATATGCGGAGGGTGTCCTGCTAGTAAAGAAAACTTTACTGGGGGTTGCCAGTGTCGTGTCACGTGGTGGAGGGTGTATAGTTCCGGAATAATACTTGAAGCAGCGGCCGCAGGTACCAGCCATGTACCAGCGGACACAGCATAGAGATAGCAGGCGTTTGTGAGCGCACCGCGGCTTGGTTGTATGTATGTAGCTGTGGCTAGTGTAAAGAAACAGTTCCATCACCCTTAGATAAGAAATTGCAAACTAGAGCATGATGTACATTTAAAAACAAGCTGTGTTTATGTGATCGAAAGTTGTAATCTTGCACTTGAAAAGAAAGAGATTTTGTAACTGGAAAATACAGACCCCCACCCCCTCCCCCTCCAAAAAAAGAGAGAAAGGACTTAATAAAATTATTCCCGCCATATTTTTGTGTCGTTAATTCAAGGTCACTCTTCTACCTTTGCGATTCACCACTTTACATCAGAGCACATTCCACCATTTCAAAACACAACGCAGGGTCCCATCTTGTTGACAATCACAGTTTAAGACCACTTTTCAAATTTTTATGGGTTTTTAAAATTGTGCGCATGCCTTAATTTTGGCGGAAGGTTTGGGTTATTACCAACGCGCGGAAAAGTATCTCAGCAGTGCAATTCCCCAGTTGAAGTAAGGTGTGTTTTACAGCGAGTAGTGGGGACGCTTTGATCTGGTCCACAAGGACGTTGCCAGTGCATTTCGTTAGGAGTGTTTACGATCGCTAAAATTACTTCAAATAATAATACGCGATCCCCTTTCTAATTTTTACACCACAGGGCCGCATGTTTGTTATATTGAAATGTTATATCATACAAAATGGCAAACACATTTGTAACAAAATGGTTAAGATTGATTAAATAAGAAACCAGATTGCCGTGTATTGTTATAGCAACAAAATGAATTGAGGAATCTTTAATATATATAACTGCTAATGTTAGAATAAACGTCAGTAATTAAATTTATTATTGAATGCATTTGTTTGTTGGCAAGTTTCAAAAATGCGGTCACATAATTGAACTGATAAGTTTAAGGTTTTAATTGATTCAGTGTGCGTCCGTTGGTAACAAATGTGTCAGAATTCATGAAAGAGACCTTGTGGGAATAGTAAGTTAAAAATTAAAAAAAAAAAAACACTAGTGATCTTTACTTGTACTGCTTACCGGAGGTTCTATACCGCTCGTGGAAGGGTCACCAACATTCGAGCCATTCTTGGTAGTACGGGTTTTAGCACTATTAAAACCCTGAATAATTGCAAATTTTTCTAAATTCTCTTCAGTAAAAAAATGTCGTTTTGCCGTCAAAAGGTCTTTAAATTTAGAAAATGACCTTTCCACGTCGCAACTAGTCACTGGAGCCAAAGCGAAGCAGTCTAGTAAATGAAAATATTTTTCAGCTACGGCATCGTCTGTAAATGAATTAAAGGCAATTTGCCTTAACATCGTATAATCAGGATTGCGCTTTATTATGTCATGAAGTTTGTCTTCTAATTTTTTAACGACGGGTACCTCAACGGCCTTTAGTTGGTCAAATAAATGTTCGAATTTTTCAAAACTTGATGTTAGGGGCACATTTTGTTGTTCAAGACTTTTTATCACCGGTAAAATGGGTTCAAAATTGGTGCTAATAAACTGTACTTGTTGTGGCAAATTTGCGTCCATTAAAATTTTTTTGCAATCTTTTATGCTGACGGCTTCATCGGGTAACGTTAAAACAAATGATTTTATCAACTGAAAATGTTCAGCATAAAAGAGTGCTGCTTGCAACCACGTTCCCCACCGTGTAATCACAGGTTTTGGTGGAAGAGGTATATTAGGACAGTGTGCCCGATATAAGGAAACCCTTGACGGAGATTTTAATAAAATTTTTTTGCAAGTACTGATAAGCTCGTTTACAGCTGGAAAAGCTTCGCGAACGAATTCGCATACCCTATGGATTGCGTGGGCAAAACACGTTAAATGTAACAGATTTGGGAAAGCCTGCTTTAGAAGTTTACCTACTTTCAACATCGTGGCAGCAGCATCTGATACAAAAAGCAAAATTTTAGTAGCATCGTCTATGGCAATATTGGCAATGGCATCCTTTACAATAGTGGCTATTTCTTCGGCGTTAACGCTAGCTCGAAATTGTGTAGATATTAAATATGGTTGATATGGCGTTTGTGGATGCAAAATTCCAGCAATTACATTGATAACGTACCTACCCTTTATATCTATTGTCTCATCAGCACTAATCCATATATAATTATCTGCTAAGTTATTCTGTATTTTTGTAATAGTCTTGAGGTAATAGGGTGTAACGTATTGTTTCCGTATGGTAGACTCGTCTGGTAAGTCGCGTCCCGTATATTTTTTCATGAACTGTTTAAAGGCAGGAGGGTTTAGTTTGGTGAGAGGTATGTTGGCTGAAATAAATGCCTCACAGATATCTTCGTAGAAATCAGTTTTAGATTGTCCTACAACGTTGGCAGTATGTTTTTGAGTTCGTATGTGCCTTCGTAAACATGTTTTTGTTCGAAATTGTAAATTAACGGAACAAAAATTACAAACTACCGTATTTTTTTTAACAAACGTAAAAATATTGCCAAATTCATCCAGATAACTACTCATAGTAATGAACTTGTAAAAAATTCTAAAAATGTGAAACAATAAATGAACTTACACAGGTAAAAATCAAAATAAAAGTTATAATTCTAAAACACGACACGAAGAAATAAATTAAATTCCTGCAAATAAAATGAAACACCTAGAAATCAAAATACAATTAATAATTCTAACAGGAAAAAGAACGAGCTAAATGAAAGTCTTGCAAATAAAACGTGTAAGGTAGAAATCGAAATAAAATTAAGAAATAAAATTAACAATTCTACAACGAAAAAGAACGAAATACATGAAATTCTTTCAACGAAAACGTAAAAATGATGCACTACTCTTTGTTGACGACAACTAAACAAATTGTTGAACTACGATTTTCACCTGAGTTAATACATGCAAGCATGCAACGTTAATGACGATGCTAGAACAGAGCAACACGCGTGTCTGCAGATGAACGTTGAGGAATCGCCTAGGAAGGATTTTCGTTGCGCTTTGTGCTCGCGCTAGCTCGAAGTGGCGAGGCTCACGTGCCCCCACTTCGACGCGACGGCACTGAGGGAGTGAGATAAATTTCCGCGTAGTGGTTATTACAGAATTTTAGTGTCGTGACCAGGATGCATTGTTGGTGAACAACACTTGAAGAGTGCCTTGTTTTGTTGTGATATTTTTTTATATTGCCGTTTTGTTTTGTTTTGTGTTGCATAAAATAATTCAATTTGAGTTATTCAGTGCTAACTGAGTGAGGCAGCGCAAGTAAATCCCTAGTTTGACGGCCCTCCAGGACGTGCCATAATTCTGCTGATGGAGGTGTTGAGGAAGATGAGCTGCTCGAAGGTCTTCATGTCGGGCTTTTTGGATGTGGGCTGGGTGTAGTCCGAGATGGCTCGTTTGACGGGGTTGCGCACTATGACCAGGAGTTTCGTAGAGGGGTTCATATGCTGCATCCAGCACCAATGATTGGATTAATTTGTGTATTTATTCCGTGTAACTTATCTTACTTACACTAATCATCACACTGGATAAAATAATTCAGTTTGAGTTGTTCAGTGATTTCTGAGTGGCATTCGAAAATTCACTTGGACCATACTTGGACATTTCGATTTTCCATGGCTAATCCAAAGACGCGATTGTCGAACTGAGACGGAACGTTTCGCGACAAATTGGGCCGAGCGCGAATTTCAAAATACAATTTTTACACGGAATGAGGGCGATGTAATGATTTGAAAAATATACTGGCCGATAGCCCTCCTTTCCCTCCACAAATGTATCACTCAATAATAGCTTTAAAGTGATCCGGGGAGACATTATAAAATAAAAGCCAATTTCCCATGTTATTTTTTTTTATTCTTATGTCCAAACTTGGATGCGGCATCCTGTATACGATGACATGTTTAGTTGATACACGTTAATATGGTTTTATTATGAATTTCATCTAAAATATTTCATCTAAAATAATTACTTAACCACTCTTTCTGTGTAATTAGTGAATTACTTATGTTACTTTATATTATCCTGTAATTGGGAGGTTATTCTTTTGGAAAGTGAATATTATTATTATTTTCTCACCACACGAAATTCACCTGTTAGAGAATTAAACCACAGCATAGATAACAATAGATTGTTATCTATGCTGTGATTAAACCGAACGCACTATAGATTTCATCGCCAGCAAACCCCCATATCGAGAGACATGATGATGGACGAAATGAGGCGGAATTGACACCATTAAGTTGAGGTGTGCAAAAAGTTACAAAGATGAAAACAGTACAACGAGAGCTAGAAGGTAGGGTGCTGTTGAAGAATAACTTATATTAAACGTTACACCACACCAGTTTGCCGTATAGAGATCTCTACAAAAAAAATCCTTAAATCGCACCCGAGCACTTATTGTCTTGTGAAACTGGTAACCAGTCAAGAAAATCATGTGTATAATGTGATCATTCTCAAGTTGTTCCACAGTCACGGTATGTAACCTAGCACATGTTCGCTTTACAAGATTTCATAAAGTTGTACGCCCAACAAGTACACAACGGAAAATCAAACGAAGATACCCACTTCAATTGTACCATTTACGGTGCTGTCCCGTTGTCGAGACAAAATTTACGATAGATCGACAGTTTTCTTCATAGTTGTATAGTGTGTTAAATAGTTGATCGTTCACTTGTTTGTTAAACTTTCTTATTAATATGCATGCTGGGGATGAATGTGAAGCTCCTCTTAAACTTCACCTTTAATTAGGGTTACCATATTCTAAAAGTTAATTCTAGGGCATAAAATTATAAAAATTCGGACAAAACCGGACACTTTGATACAAAAAAATTACGAGTACTTATAAAAAAAATTATTGCAGAGAAAACAACATAAAATTCATTAGTTAAAAGTATCACCACTTAAATCTAGTTGTCGAAGTAACCCGGACAGAAATATAAAAATCCGGCCGGACCTCCCCGGACAGTCGAAAAACCAGAACATGTCCGAGAAAATCCGGACGTATGGTAACCCTACCTTTAATGTTAAGACATCCTTAACATGCACCTCGAATGTTAAAAAAAAGCCTTGGCAACAGTACCTATGTGTTTCGCCATAAAATGTCAGACATTTTTTTTATTATAATACTATAGCCATGGTATTATAATAAAAAAAAAAATATGCATAAGCAGTATGATTTGGATGAAAAATTAATTTTTAATTTAAATTTATTGTTAGATTCACTTTAGTTCGCTTCGCCCGCTCGAGTGGTAAACATATGCTCGAATGTTAAGCCTACTTTACCCTCCTAGTACGTTAATTAGTATATAAGATACTAATTGTTACGGCGAGTTTTAAGCGAATAATTTTAAGGAAACTTAATAATAATTAAACGTCAATATTAAATTATTAAAATTTAGCTACAATACAAACGTAATATGTATATTGGCAAGGTAGGAAAAATTTGTACTTAACAATGACCATCTCATTATCATTATCAGAAATCTAACAATCATTAAGTTTAATTTTGTGACAACTGTATTTGGTTGTTACTCTGAGTTGTCCCGGCATTCGTTAAACATTCTGCTGTCTTCGAAAATTCGTTGCTGATTATTTTAATCGACCGTAAATCTGGTAAAGAGTTTCTTAACATTCTGGCTTCTTTGGTATCTGACCTGCTTCCTTTTCTTAATTTCTGAAATCAGATATATAAATACACACCTCAATAAAAAGTTCCATATACTTACTACTTTATTAGTTTCATAGTTGGGGCAACAATGGTTGAGTTTACATCCTTCGCCTTGACACTGCATCAGACAAAGTGGTGTCACCAGCTTATTTGGACTTCCTGTTTTTGTATAAAACTCTGGTTGAATTGTCACTTGCGTAATACCATTTTCTATTAAGAATTCCTTAATATCATCCATTATTTTGCTGTAGCTCTAAAAATAAGTTATCGTGTATTTTACCAAGCCCGAATGATTAATTATTAAATTATAAAAGTTCAGTTATTGTTACAATAATGTGGTTAACTAATAATTTTGGGTGGAGAATATTCTTCTATATATCATTATGAAATTAAAATATTTCGTTATTAAAGTTGCAGAAAACAAAAGTACATCACCGTAAAAACATAAATATTTATCTCCAACAGTCAAATAATGAACCCTTTATATATGTCAAATCAATACTATAATGTGACTCGTATTATTTGGTCGTGGAATATGAAGGTTGCTGCCCGAATAATAAAAAAAAATACTATAAAATCGTAGGTATACAAAAACTTCATGGATTCGCGCTTGGTGAACAATACGACCTCTTTTTCTAAAGATACTTTATTGATGTAATCTAACGAATTAAAAAAAGCAGTTTACATTGTGGACTTACTACTCCATGTTGACGAGCACGCCCATTCTCAAAATAATATGATTTCAACATTGAATCATACCCAAAAATGCGAGCCTTTTTGAAAAGGTCTGCAGAAGATTATCGACCAAAGAGATCCAAAATCTTTACAAGAGATGAAATTAACATTTTCATTAATGAAGCACCTGGTATTAAATATTTAGCAACAATGGTATTCAACAATGTATTATTAATTCATGCATACATAATTCTAGTTTTGACTTCCCAAGTCTAAGTAAGCTAAGGAAGTATTGTAATAATACAGGAATACATCGGATACTGTTTAAGACGATCATCTACTACCCTGTATACCGACGCAGGAGCGAAACTAATTCAAATTTTTAATAATAATTTTCATTTCGACAAAAAATGTTTGGTTTGGAAATAAAGTATAGTACAATGGACTGTATTACCGTTGGATGATTTACACACTCGCCTTCGGTTTCACCCTCATGTACAGCCTACATTTTACGCTCAAAATAGTATGCTACATATTAATGTAATTAGTTATTTATTTACTATTCTTACCTTTTGATTTTCGAATATTATATGAACAGTGGAGATAATCTTCGTTGCCGTCAACTGCCAGACATGAAAATCATGAACATTAATAATGTCTGGAAAGTGACTTAAAAGCTCTTTTTTTAAAACATCTATGTTGATGGAGTCCGGTATGGTTTGAAGTAAAATCAAACAACTTTCCTTCACTGTAAAAGATTGTAAAATAAAATTTGAATAAGATAATGCAATAGTTAAAATTAATTAAAAAAATATAATCTCACAATTTTTCTTGTACATTTAAGGTTTATCTGAGTTACGACGTAGTCACACTTGAATCGACGTATTAAGAGTGTTTTTTTTTTTATTTACAATACATACACGAAGTAAAATGATGTATATACAATGTCCAATGTTAAGTAAAGACAAATTTTCAAATAGTGAATAGGTTTGGGCTTCCTATAAAAATAGCTCAAATTGATTAAAGTTAAATATCAACGTATGAATAAACCAACAAAACAGTGAATTGTTTTAATCGCGATTCTTATAAATCAAACCGTTCGTCGGTTGCGGAAAGACATCATTTAATTAATTGTAATGCTAATGGCAAAAATAATTTCTAAATAAAGTGTGCAATGATTTAATTAAAAATAACAATGTAATCTGAATTGCATATTTATTAGTTGCCACGAGGTTGAAAGTGCTGTGTGTATTGCATAAATAATTTGGTTTTTGTCCTTTAAATTATGTGATTTGGTGTGCTGTTAGATCATTATAACGACTTTTCAAGTGATATTTACTGCAAGTTTAAATTCGTCGTTTACATGCGACATACGTCAAAGTTAGGTGTTGATTTAGCTTTCAATGTACTCACGTTCATGCGAAATTAACGATATAACGATACCCTTTTGTGGAAATCGTAAGGTTAAAAAATTTTCCGGAAGGTATACATGAACACCACACAGTTACGCAATAAAAAATAAGATTAATCCTTTTAGTACAAATTAGATTCTTGTTGTTTGGAGCACAGTTTTCTTTTCTTTATCCATAAGGAGATCAATTTGGAATTAATTACAACTTTAAATGTTTAATAGACTTTGTTAAAAAACTGTGTTGAAATTGTTGCACTTAAAATTTGGCGTAAAGTGTAATAATTTTAATTACATCGAATCAAGCTATGTCACCAGATTTTTTGCAGAAAAGATGTAATTATTGCAGTTTGGTAATTAAAAAATGTTTCGAATCCAATGTAGATACGTTTCATTATTTTGAAGTTCATTTTGAATTTGTAGTTCTTGCTACTACTGATGGTAAAAAGCAACGCAGATTACGATTTTTAAATGTCATTGTCAAAGTCTGTATTTAAATTTTGGGAAGGACATAAATTAGCGTCTTGTATATAAATTAACATTTTACATGTTTAAGGAATTTTAAAAACAGTACAAAAATTTTTCCACTCTACGAAAACAATTTATTCTTTGTCATACAATTATTATAAAGCTTTTTGAAAATCAACTTCAATAAAAAGTTTTCTAAATTTACTATTTGGTTACTAGCTTTGATTGTTTTTTTATTATTCCTCAGTAGTGCGATATTGAAATCCGTAAGACTTTACAAGGTCGGTTAAATTATAAATAAAACTGGATTCTATGTGTAAAATATTTTCTGTTATTCAATAGGTATAGCTTCATTGAAGAAGATAATATATGAATGTTAACCCGTCTTTTTCAGTAGGTACTTTTACTTTTTTGTTCATAAAATTGTCAACTTAAAATTATACTTAATTACTTACTGTGTGGATAACTGAGGAACATTAATGAGGCAGCTGAGACCACCGACATTAAAGGATCCACATATTTGGCAACATTTTTGTCCGTGAAATATACTATTAAAGCACAAATAATAACATACACACAACCTGAAAGGAAATAATTATAAGAAATAGTTATTTATGAGAGATATAAGTGTTAAAATTACTTTTAACATGAATAATATCATACACTATTTTTTATACAAACACTGTAAAAAGCAGCAAAAAGCTTATTATTAATTTTTACAAACAAAATGAACAACACCGTGAACAAATTCATAGAAATTGTCAGTTTGTTGTTAGTTATAAACAATGCGTTGCATAAATATTTACAAACATGAATACTGAAGAAAATAAAGAAAATGATGCAGTACCAGAGGAAATCGAAGAAGCAGCTAAGAGAGCTACCCTCCATTTGCTCCCGACGAAATCGAGGCAGCAGGACGAGATCGCTTACAGTCGATATTTGGTCATTTGGAATCGTGCGAACGTAAAGATGTGGTAGGTAGGAACAATGAAAGCATATTGTTAGCGTAAAAGTTCAAAATATAGAAATTTTTAAAGCGATGGCAGACATAAGAAATAATCAAGCCATAAGTAAGTTTTATAAGCTTTTTGCGTTTTTGAAACGAAAGGGTGAGGAGTGCAGTGCAAAGAAATCTAAAATCCTGAGCCTGGAACAAATCAATAAATTCCTCACAAAAGCGCAAGATGAAAAGAACCTCATTACAAAAATTTGCTGCAATTATTGGTATACTTGGAACCTGCCCGTGAGAAAAACTTTACCATTGCAGATTTAGGAACTTCACTAACTGTCACGAAAATCAAAATATCTCAAATTTTCACGGTTGTTGGTGAAATGTACATCAACTTTTATGAAAACTACATCTCTCTCCTTTCAGTGAATGTCAACTATCGACGAGTTTTTATTAAATACGTAAATAATAAGTGTATCAAAACTTCGATTGGAATCAAAATTTTTAGGAATGTATTTGCCCGACATAGCATAATTCCTGACTTGTCAGTCAACTTTATACTGGACATTTTCCGTTGGTCTTCGGTCAATTTGTTGGAAGACGCTGGTGCTAACCTTACAGCAATTAATAGACATGGGAGATTGAAATCGAGTATGCTGGCAGAAAGATATATAGAGAACTCAATTGAAAACAATAAGAATAGTGCTTGTCAAATTCTTCCCACGTCCGAGGCCTCACGAGTGTGTCTAGTGTTTTCCTACCTGCTGCTGCCACATACATACGAGAGATGGTCAGGGAACCTATCCTTCAGGGTGTTTCAATGTCCAGTTGCACTAATTCTACTATAAATATTTATACAAAACCTTAAAATAAAATATATGATAGATTTTACTTTGAACACTAGTGTTAAAAGTAATTCACTTTTAACACCAGTGACATAAAATGACACTTTTAACGTTTCATGACAGACGTCAAAAACCTACTTTTAATAGTGTTTGTATAAAAAAAAATTGTTATATCTACTCAAAGTTCATACCTATGATATCTCTACACATTTCTAGAAAGCCTTGTCTTTGTTTTTTTGGAGGGGGAGGTATTTTTCTAGTTCTCGACAGTCTTCGTCCACCTTGTTTAACAACATCAGGTACGACAACTCTATCCAAAATAACGTCGCCACTTTCTGTGACGTATAAAAAACTGCCTTGATGGAAAGTGTATCCACCAATTAACAAATAACATACACCATTTAGCAGTAAACCAGCTGCACCAATAAATAAAACTGATAGAGGATGGTGCATTTCGTCAAAGTGATTAATATGGACTAGTGTTTGTAACGCTTCCGCGAATACGGAAAATGAGAGAGAAGCCAAAAAAATACAATAGATTAACAACGAAATTACGTCAATTCGTGCCCAACCAAATGTATTTTTCAGTTTATTCTCTTGATTACTTCTTGTAGGAGACTTTTTCGTTTGACTTGGCCTTTTATCAGAACAACCGTTGTGGTTGGAAGTTAGTTCTTCGCTAGTTGTACTTGTTTCTGAAGTAGCTTCATTTTTGGTGCAGTCGTAATTGTCACTAGTGCTATTACTGTCCTACAAAAGAAAAAAAAAACAGATGAGATGAGAACTTTGAAACCTGTTAAGATATTGACAATCTAGTTATTTGCCCTGTAGTACTATTTTATTCAAAAAAAAAAGAAAAAAAACACAGGAGAATATGAGTAAATCAGGTTCCTATGGATCAATGAAAACCATTGGGAATAAGACTTTCATGTGACTGTCATTTTCCAGTTTTTTTTTTTATATAATAAAATAATACACTGCTTTTTAGCTAAATTATTAGAATCATTGTTCTATGAATAATAAAGTGGGTAATATAATATGTATCTACATATGTATATATCCCAGTAATTATATTACTGAAGAAGACATCCAACTAAAAATTAAGGAATGTTCGCGAAACAAAGTGCACATTTTAATTTTAAAATAATGAATCAAATACGATTTCTGTTTTAAAGATGTATGCAGTAGAAGGAACTATCAACGTCTAACCTTTTAAGATCAATTTTTTTTTTAATTTTAATAATTGGCAATGAAAAAGGATCTAGTGTTGCAAAATACAAACGAGGAATTTAAGCTTTGAAAAAATAAATTGATTATCACAAAGTAATTACTACTAATTGATAATCATGTATCTAAAGTTATTATAACAAAAAGTGGCTCGAAATTTAAAAAAAGTGCAATTTACGTTGTAATCTTAAATAGGGGAATTTGTTGATCAAAATTTAGATTTGTAGTAATTTGACAGTTGACACTAATCGGTGGTTTGGTTTATGTTGTTGACAACTATTATGTTATTACTGTTTGTTAGTAGTTCTTGTTAATTAAAAAAACCGTTTAAACTTGACGTTATTCGCAACCTCACGCTGAATCATAATCACAAGATTCTCTCTGATCTGGAGCCGTATATAAAAATGTTTCCACTGGTAATTATTTCAGACTTCTTGGGCTTGTGTCATTCTGCCGCTTTAAAAACGCTGTTAATTTATAAAATTTCGAATGATTTATGTTATGTTTGACGCCAAGAGTACTTTTCAGAACTGAATATATTGTCCACAGTGTGGATGCTTTCATAATTTCCGACTTAATTTGGAAATAAACCAAGAGCGTCGTTTCAGAAAATTCGCGTATTTTATTTTCTTCGCACCACTTGATGAATTTTTGATATTCGGCTTCATATGGACCTGCGGATTTTGCAGGCAACAAATTTGCAGTTGCTTTATCTGCAGTTCTCTGAATACGTGCACGATTTTCCATTTCAACTTTGAAATTCAAAATCTAGCCCGGACAAATTGACAGATTGGTATTTGACGTATTTGGTGATAAATTCAATACCAACATAATTTCGGTTCAGTGATATTTATGCTTTTAGCGATTGAAAAATGTTATTTTTTCAAAAAGGCAGCGCAAAAAATATTGTATGATACTCTTGTGAAAACTCCATTGCATTACTCACTTACATACAGCGCTCGACTGCGTCTCGCGCCGTATTCCCGTTCGTAATGCAATGGACCGTTTTCAACACTTGTTACATAAATAACTATTCCACAACTAGTACAGTAAGAAGGACTTATTGTTATGAAGGTTGGCGATATTATTAAGGTGCCTATGAATGGTGCCAAAAAGTCATTAGAAAATTAGCGCTGCTCGCATTTCCAAAAAATTTCGGGCAAGATGAGCAAATCAGGTTCTCATAGATCAATGAAAAGCAGTGGGAATATGACATTCATGTCAATGTCATTTGCCCCAAATTTTTTGAAAACCACGGTATTAGGAGTAGCAATGGCAATCAGACTAAGACTCTGTCAATTGCAATGTTTAAGATAAACAAGTAAATTTTAATTAACGATTTACTATGCTTACGAGAACCGTAAAACGGTTGCAAGATTTCAGAGCATTCGGTTTTTCAGTTTTAAAGTTGAGTTCAAAAATGCTGTTATACAGTTTTGTTTTTTTTTTTCTAAAAGTTTACAAGTCAAGATAAATCATACATGAAGGAGTACGTTATTTTATAAAATTTAAATAACATTTATTCGCCAAAATTGTAAGATAACGTTATCATTTTTTAGGGGGGGCGTAAACGGATACATTTTGATTAGCGATTTACCATATTTCCAATAACCTTAAAACGTTTGCAAAGTTTCAGAACATTCGGTTTTGCAATTTCGAAGTTAACACGTTGGCGGACAGACCTGCTATAGCAGTCGCGCTTACCATGACAGGCCGGGTACAACCACAGGGTACAACCGTCGTGACTTTTCAGTACTAATACGTCGCACCGGCTGCAGCAGGGCGTATTTCAATGTGTTTATATGGTGCAGCAGATCCACTGCCCTAGAGAACACATGATATTGTTACGAACAAGAATTATTGAGTTATAGAAGGAAAAAATATTGCCAGTGTCCGCCAACGTGTTAAATTGTAAAATGTTACACGATTTTGATTTTTTTACAAAGATCTGGATGCCTAGTGTCAAAACTCAGCACGGGTTCATAAACTACCAGTGAAGGAGGATGTTATTTTATAAAATTTAAATAACATTTTACTATTGTAAAAGTTGTCGATGACGTCATATGGTGGCGATGATCAAACAAATTTTGGCCAGCTTTTTAAGTTTTAAGTAAATGTAAAGAAGCCTGCTGTGCGTATGTTTCAAAAGTTTAAGAAAATTTTGTGTTGACAGCATTGTATTCCCAAATTTTCGTGAAAAGGGAGTGAGTTGTTCCTGATTTAATCAATAAAATAAATTGACCCATTCATTAATTTTTTTAACAACGCTGTATAAGTAATACTAAAAACTACGAGTGTATTGACAAACCATAAATATAGAGTACATATACATTTATGGTTTGTATATTGTGCATATACAAATATGCACAATACATTTTGCATATTTCTGAGAGGATGTGTTAGGCAAAATTTTGAGATGGCATCGTCCATGTTAAATTTCAAAATATGGTTATTATAGTTATTAAATTTTTTCTAAAAATATGGATGTCTAGGCCGAAAAATCGACATTGATTCATATACCACCACTGCAGAAATATCTTATTTTATAAAATTTAAAAAAATTGCTGTTGTAAATTTTGCAGACGACGTCATACCATTGGTGGTGAGGATAGTTAGCCTAATTTTGGTTAGCATTTTACCATCTACATGATATTCCTAATATTCATACAAAATTTGACAATAATCGCTCCAGGATTTTCGGAGATTATATGTCTAATAAAAATCCAGACAGACGGCAAACAGACAGACAGACAGACAGACAGACAGACAGACAGACAGACGGACGGAAACGGGAGACATATTTTTTCGTACTCTATGAGTTAGGAAAGTTTGAGGAAACATAAAAGTCGGCCGATGGACTCGATTGCAATACTTCCTTACGCTTTGGAAGTAAAAATAACATTATTGAAAGTTTTTTGTGAACTGTGGCATTGTTAATAAATTTCAAAATAATTGGAATAACATGGCAAACCTTAATTTCAAAAATAAACTATGACTATAACGCCTAAGAAGAGGACAATCAGATTATATAAAAACTAGAGGTTGTTCCATTTTAAAAAACTATATAGGGTGTTAGGCCGAAGAAACAGAACCGTCTGCATGTATGCTACTTAAAGCAACATACAACTTTAATAGTAGCTTGCATATCTAAATTATTACTCAACAACGTTATTATTAACGATACATTTGCACAAACTTAATGGTTAAAACTTATCATGATTTTATTACACGTGTTGATTTTTTTAACATACGATGGGTTCTTCACTTTTACATACCATTAAAGAAGTACGTCGTATTTCATTTTTAACTAAGGACATACTATCAGAAGACGTCACTTTAAAATGTTCAAGGTATACATAAATTTTCAATCTGTATGTTAAGTTTAGATATTATGCAAATATTTAATTTAAATTTGGCAATAAATTTTAGAGGTCATTATTTATTTGTAAAAAAACAAAGTTGTGTCATTGTATCTTACAGACAGCACCTATATTTTAAGGGCATGATGGCAATTTAGGTTAAGAGTAACATGTAACTGACTATCGTTAAATAGTACTACGTCGTTTTAATTAGGTTAACACTTTTCTCTGTTTCTTTCGGTGTAGTCATATCAAATTGTTTATTTTTTAGATCAAAATACACAATAGGTAATTATTATTGAAATCGATCATCTGTAACTGACAATGGGTTATCTAAGTACGTTTCTGCAATATAGTAACGTTTTTCTAAGTTTCCAACTAGAATATCCATTTTAAGGTAGGTACCCTTAAAATACGTACCTACGCTTTATTTTATAAATAATCAAAGTAAATAATGTGTGTAATGTATTTTTCATATCTAAAGTTAATAGTTATTACGATGTTTATTTCCCGAGTGTAATCGAATCCATTTGGACCCCTAGAGTACCAAAGTAGGTTCCCCGTTTCCGTCTATCTGTCTGCCGTCTGCAGTTTGTCGCCTGCCGTCTGCCGTCTATTATCTGCCGTCTGCTCGCGTTTGTGAGGATTTTTAATAGACAAATCATCTCCGAAACTACTGAACCGATTGTTGTCAAATTTTATACGTACATATCGTCTACACGGTAAAATGCTGACCAAAATTTATCGGATCATCCGCATCAGCAATGATGTGACGTCATTTCCAACTTTTACAATAGTAAATGTTATTTAGATTTTATAAAATAACTCCTCCTTTTTTAGTTTACGAATCCATGTTGAATTTTTACCCTGGGCATCCAGATTTTTGGAAAAAAAAAATGAAAAATGAATAAGGACATTTTAAAATTTAACTTTGAAACTGTAAAACGGAAACCTCTGAAATCTTGCAAGATTTTATGGTTATCGTAAGCATCGTTAATTGTTAATCAAAATTTTTCTCAAAACAAGGTTGCGTTTATTAATGTCAAAAATTCAATTTTTTTGTCTTTGGATTGATTGTATGCATTAATCAATAGAAAAATTGGTCGAAAGTTTTTTCGATAGAACTTTCCTCGCCCCTACGGTAGAGTCTAACAAATCTCGCTTCCTTAAAAAATTATAACATTTTATTTTGCTTTTTTGTATAGATAAGATGTATGCAGATGAGATCTGTCGGGTAAATTTTGATGATGACGTCATCAATATGGGGAGAGGGATAATGCTTCATTATTTATTTATCATACTTACGAAACCCTAAAACGTTTGTTAAATCTTGAACTATTCAGTTTTGCGCTTCCAAAGTTAAAGTGTAAGAGGTTGTTATAACCTGAACACTGATTCATAAACTATAAATGCATGAGTGTGCTATTTTATAAAACATTTATTTTAAACAAAATTGTAAGATGACGTCATCAATTTTCGGGAGAGCCATAAACGGATAAATTTTGATTAACGTTTTATTTATTATGCTGGCACGATTTCGGGGGATTGGATTTTGCAGTTTCAAGGCTTTCGTTATAAAATATAGATTTTTTGTTAAATCTGGAAATCTAGGGTACAAACATGCAGGAGTATATTATTTTATAAATTTTAAAGAACATTATTATAAGATGACGCCATGGGGGGGGGAGGGGGGAAGGCAAGCATATACGGCCATATTTATCTAGGGTAAAAACTGAACACGGATTCACACGTGTAGAAGTATGTGATTGTATAATATTTAAATCATTTTAATATTGAATCTTTTCAGACGACGTTGTCAAATTCTTGGTGGAGACGATTAGCTAAATTTTGGTTAGCGTTTTTTCATCTACAGGATATTCCTTATATATATATATATATATATATACAAAATTTGACAACAATTGGTCCGGTAATTTCAAAGATTACCTGTCTAATAAAAATCGATACAGAAATACAGACAGGCAAATGGAAACCTATTTTTGCGTACTCTAGGCGTTATGAAAAACATTAAAGTAGCCAGTGGACTCGATTACAATACTTCTTAGCTTACCCTCGCGAAGTAAAAATGAAATTATGTTACCTCAAACCTTGAAATTTTGTAGGTGGGATTTAAAGTCGAAAAAAGTTTTAACTGACATCGATTCTTTCTACTATTTAAATTTTACTACTAAAATAAGATAAGATTTTGTAACCATTTTGAAAAACGAAGAGGACTAATGGTATGTAAAACGAAGTATGGACACATATCTATTAAGGTTTCATGCAAAACCCATATATCTTAATAGCCATGTCTGTGAAAAACTTACACATTTACCAGTAAAAGAACCGTCAAACATTTAAATGTAAGTGGAAATGAAAAACTTTGTGTACATAATACATACCTTAATAGTCATGATGCATCCAGTCAACGCTAAAATATTGCATAACATGTGATAAGAGTCCATTAAAAGTGTTAAAGCATGTGTGATATGACTAAAAATTAATTCCGTTATGAAAAACATCACAGTCAGTATGAGAATTATGTAAAGTTGTATGGGTTGCAAACTTCGAAACCACTCTTTTACTGGCATCTTACTGACTTTCTGAAACAAAGAAATAATTCACAAATAAAAGTAGTATTTAAATTAATACAAGAGACATAGTAAAAAAGATTTACCTCGCAGTAATTTTATAATGTTTGATCTGTTTCACATTATTTTAAATAAATTATTTTATATAATGGCACTCCGCTGTGTTGTGACGACGCGTGTTTTGTAATACCTATTTAAAATTACACAGGAAGTCGGTCAATTGATCATATTAGTTCTTTAATTGAACGTGTTATACACTGCACGGTGGGTAAAATCATAAACTAAATTTAAAAAATAAGTAAAAACAGAACTAGTCCTTATTACTGAAACTTCTAGTACCATTGCCAACGACGTAAAAGAATAATTAATTAAAAACTAAATACATTTTCATAATAAACAATATGTTCTATTTTAACCAAAAAATTGTAACAAGACAATGACTGTGAGTAAAAAATAATAATAGGTGCTATAAAATATTACTCAGTACGTGTTGTCAAAAACGGTTATTGATCATGTACTCATGCTACTGATTATCTTATTTGGAATGTAATATACGTATAAGTGTTTAAATTTCGTAACCAACATCCAGTATTTTAAACAACTATGATACTGATAATTTAATATAGACTGAAGTCTGGAACATGTTTAAAGACTTGTTATCTTGTTTTATCATGGTTACTTTTTCGACTTACATTCGTATTACTATGTTATGAAGTTTACCGTTCTACTTATTAAGATTCTTGGTTTGTAACAACGCGTTTCGGAATATTATTAATTATTTTGCCATATGTCTCGTCGTTTTTATTTGAAAGATTTGACATTTTGACTGTAACATTTACATACAGGTGTCCTGGGGATGTTGAGGCTAATTATCTCTGATTCTGAATTCATTTGGGACTACAATTTAGAATTATTTTCAAAGATACGGAGATTTTTGAAAATATTTTTTTAATGGTGTGCATTAATACACACCATTAAAAAAGAGAAAAGCGGTATTAGAGTCAAAAGTTATTAAGCAATTCTTGTCAATATACATATGGAATTTTTTATTTTGATACCTTGTCTTGACAAACATAAAAAGTTGACGTGTGTTATCATTTATTTGTACATAATTATTAAATTTGCAAATTGTGAGTTTTATTCAAACAGGACAACTTTTATTTTGTAACATTTTCGAACTTATTTCAAATTTTAGCTCATTAAGCTTTTTTTATTATTATATTTTTTAGCGTTTGTCCTACTAGCTTAAGTAATTCTGAATAAGGTAAACTCCAAAAAATCTGATACAAAGAGAAAGCTTTCTTGTCCTGAAGTACAGTCGAACAAATGCAGCTTCGAAAAATTATAAAATTTAATTTTGCAAATTTTATTTTTTTTAAGATAACCCCTATAAGTTAAAATACAGACATGTGTGGACCGTTAAAGTGCAAGTAAATCAGCATGCTATGGATATGGTTCAAGTGAGTTTTTCCATAATAAAAGTTTGTAAAGACGTCATTAATATTTTAATAGGCACATCTGTATAACTGTGAGTAAATGTAATGTAATACTAATCAGAATAGTAATATATAAACAAATTTTCGGGAAAATACGGTAAACTGGTCTTAATTTGATTAATAAAAATTTGGAGATACCAGGAATCGAATCCGGGGTCCTTCATTTGCAAAAACAAAAGTCACATTTCTGTTGTTTCGTATTATGTATCTAAGCTTTACGATTAGAAGGATGAAACAATAAAAATTAAAACAATATTAAAAAAAATCAAGGTGGATTGATAAACCGTAAAGACAGGAATATGTTATTTTAAAATTTAAATAGTAGTTACTATGCAAAATTTTGAGGTCACGTTATCAGATTGTTGGTGAGGATTATCAGACAAATTTTGGTTAGCGTTTTACTATCTACAGGATATTCCTAATAGATGAGTTGACAAGAGTCAGTTCACTAGTTTCGGAGATTATCATCTGTCTAATAAAATATCGCCATGACAGACATACGGAAACGGGAGACATTGCTTTCATCCTTTACGATTCATGAAGCGTCGAGAAAACTCTCAAAAAAGAAAAAAATCTGTTACAAACGAATTGTACTAAGCAAAAATATTTAAGCAAAAAAATTTATTTAAAATAAATTTTTGGTATACTTACCGAAGGCAAAATGTAATGGGTACTAAATTCACAAAAAGTCAAAATTTATTTAAAATATAAACGTATCAACGTACACTCGAGTAACTAAAGTAAAAAGTTTCGGTAAAGTTCCTTTTAAAAAATTGCCATAAGATAGCTGGTAATTAGCAATATAGATTGATAGTGTTTAAGGCCTAGTGACGACAAAATGTAATACTACAGCAGCCCTTCTGTTCAAGAATGTTAAATTCACAAAAATGTCACAATTTATTTAAAAAAAAAAGCAAACATACTACATGTGCACCCGTGACGAAGACCCTATTCTAACTAAAATAAAAGATTTCGGTAAGATCCCCCACTCTCATTAAAATTGCCTTAAGAAGCTGGTAATTAGCAACATAGATTGATAGTGTTTAAAACCCGATACTAAATGTAACAAGTTTCAATCAATCTCCACTATCGATTTAATTATTAATTTTAAATAATATTTTTTGTTTAAATATTATTGTTTAGGCAATTCGTTTTCAGCGTTTTTTTTTTTCTTTTTTGAGAGGTCCATATTTTATAAATATTACAACAAACAATATTTTAAATAATAATCATCATTCACAGTTTAAAATAAATGATACTTTACATATTGATTGATTGATTCTAACAATTATATTGAATCAAAAATTTATTTCATAAGTGTATTGGCAGTAAAATTCATTGTCTAATTGCACTTTTACTTTCACCATGCTAATTAGCCGCGGGACATTTATTATTACTCATGATCAATATTGAAATTTCATTTCTACGTCGAAAAAATGTTGGAAAAATTTACTATGCAACATACCTATACATAAAGACGAATTTCGTATTCACTAGACAATCTGTGTCTCTTCCTCTCACAGAAAAAATAAATAATTAATGATCCGGTTAATAATTAAACCAACAATTAATGGAATTTTGATAATGATAATCAGTACCTAATTAATGAATGCATGGTGAAAGTGAAAGTGTAATTAGCGATGACCTTCACCACTGCCGGTCTTATACTACTTGCACTATACCTACATATAACTGTATTTGGGCGTATTTTGATCAATTTTATAGTCAAGAGTCAAGACTTCAAACAAATGGGGCACTATTCTCTTGTAATACTTGTAGGTGTTCTCTTTTCTCTTAGCTTAATAAAAGACCTAAGAATCTTTTATTTTGATGTCATTGTGGTTCGTGTTTTTTTTGTGATTAAAGTCAGTAGGGAAGAATATGCTTTCAGGTTGAGGTCTGTTTTAATATCATAGGTATTTATTACACTAAACACTTGAGATTTTTTTGTCAAAAAGATACTGGTTCTAGCACTCTATCATTCACTGTAAACACAATTGTACTAGTCTATGTAAGCAAATATATATTTTGAATATTCAAAAAGGAATAATCAAAATAATGGACAACTTAAATTACAGACGTGAATATAAAAATTACCTTTCTAAAAATTTTAATGTCAATATGTATATAGTTATATATTTATCCTTGTTTAAAGCAAATAAGAAGCCATTTCTGCTTTCTGAACTTAGTAGAATTCAGTATGTGCAACTCTAATTCAAATACTTCGCTCCTATACTATACTTGCTTATTTGTGAAAGTGCGCAATGAGATAATTAGTATATAAACATTAAAATCCCTTTTTAAATTGCATAATAAACAGAGTTCTTAAAAAGACTTACATAAAAAAATAAACACAGAAAGCAATAATAACATTAATAACACACATTAAATACAACTTGCCGAAAACGCTTCTACAAATCAAGTAAAGTCAGGATCACGAAGCAATGCGTACACGTCACGGACTCTGTATGACGTCATGCGTCTACCACGTTTATTATACAAATGAATCGGTTTGAAAACTGTCAACAAACATGTCGGCTTGTTATTGTTTTGGTTTGTTCTATTTATGATTATAGCATGAGAAGACCGTTAGTGTGAAGCAACAGTTTAGAAATAAGCTACACTTGCAGTGTTTCAGCATACAAGGGCATGCTGCAGGCTGCATAGACGCTATGAATTACAAACTCAGGCACAGGAAAGATCACGACTGTAACCCCTTTCACGTGTTCCTAGTCACTGAAGCCTGCCACTCACGTTCCAACGCCGCGGTACAATTGTGTAGGATATGACAAAATTGAAGTGTTTTCGAACATCTGTGTATGCGATCAAGCAAATCGGTTGGATGTGGACGGTTGGTGAACAAGTCTGTCTGCAGCAGTACAATCGTGTTGTATTGGTTGGAAACTTAATCGTGTGGGGACAGTGTATGTTATACAAACCGTGAAAGCAGGTATAAAAGTCCATTTTCTTCGGACATGTTGCCACCACGATCGCAAATTTTTAACTGCAAGGTCGTAACGTGTGTGTACTGCTGCTTTTCAGCAAAATTGTACAGCAGTTGTATCCAATACAATCGTACCCCGGCGTTGGAACGTGAATGACTGGCTTTAAGAACGTTCATTTTTGCATTGACTGCTGGTAAAAACTGCTGACAATTGGGTGTTAAACATATACTTGGAGGGTGGTACAAGGCTTCATACTGTACTTAAAGCTACCAACGAGAATGTTAACATACGTCTCAAACAGACAGCATTGAACAGTTGTGACAGGCTTCAAGTTAGAGAAATATGCTTACCGTCTTCAATGCCACAATAGGCACGTCACATCTACAGAATAAGTTACTTTATTGACATGGAATAGATACAAAAGTAAAGTATAAACAATAATAAGTATGCATGTTGCACAACGTCGTCGTCTGACCAGTGATTTGTATATTTGGCCAGTGAAGTGATAGTGTGATTATAAAAGACATCAGCAGAACATGCCGCTAGTACAATCAATTAGAATGGTAATGGA